ATTTTTGGTCAGAAATTCCATGAAAAACCGAAAAAGCAGGAATTCGGAACATACGCCCCTTTCACTTTTAAAATGGGTTTTTTGGCACTTACGCCCCTTTGATTTTAATGCGACGATATAAACGCAGAGGTTCCGTTTCCCCTTAAGGGAAGGTGAGTTAAAATGGACCTTCTCAAATGATCCATATCTGAGAAAACAATGCGATTTCAATAAAGCAGGTCCCATTTTGAAGCCTAACGAAATATCTCCAAAATAAACAAGTGGGAAATTGCTCTTGCATTGTATATAGTGTAGTTATTTTTGCTAATAAATTAGCAATAGGCTTCCGAATGGTTATTTTGTACATAATTTCTTTCTATCATGTATAATTCATTGTTTATTTAATTTTATAAAATCGAATGAGATTTCCTTTTACCTAATTTTGTCAGATTTTCAAATTAGTTGAATGTTATCAGCATCATTGTTCTTATTATCCTTTTTCTTCTACACAACCGATTGTCTTTTTTACAGTTCGACCTCACCCCTCAGCCCTTCGATAAAATGTTAATAGAAAATAGTTAATAGAAACGAATTACCTCAGTCTATATTTATTTCCATTGGCAAAAAATTAACTCATTGCATCAACTACTCTATCAAGTATTAATATTTTTAGAAAGGTAAAGGCGGTAATTCAGGAGCAAAGCGGTAAACCGATTTAAGTCGATTTTTACTATTGATCAGTTTTCAATAAATATCTTGGAATTTAAGGCAGATAGAAAAATTGTTGTCATAATCTTTTTTGTAGAGCGAATTGATATCTACAAAAAAAGTTTATACGAAAATTTCGGTACTTCCTTTAGATTCGGAGATATTCCTCCAAACTCAGCTAAGAAATAAGTCGACTTAAATCGTTTTACCGTTTCGAAACTGAATTTTACGTCATCGCCTTCCAAAATCAATTTGTTGATGACAATTTTGTAGACACGTTGTTTTGTGCAATTCTATGAATGATTCCAAATCATATAATGTACAATGTTCAGTCGATCAATTATTCATGAATAATTGGTATTTATTAGGGAAGTTATTCACCTGAAAATCAATTCACACAATAATTTTTTGTATGAGCAGATTATCATAATGTTTTTCAATATTTCAGACTCAACAATAGAATCTCTTTACATGAGATGAAAATCGAGTTGTTAAACACAATTGCAAAGATATGAAAAAATAAATCTTATCGATGATTTCAGATCATACAATGGACGGTTTCGGTGACAACTTTACCAATGACAATGAGGTTGATCCAGCAGCTGAATTCCTAGCACGTGAACAGGATCAACTGGCTGGTCTAGAGGATGAAATTCCTCCAGTGGTCATGAACACACCGGCAACCGCTCCCGCTGTAGCTGACGGTAAAGTACTTTGAAAATTCAGGTTCTCTCGTTGAGAATTATGTGTTGAAGTCACAAAAAATTACAAAAAGAGATGAATTGTGTTGATCGTTCATATTCATGAATTTAGAAATCTTAGTTCATTCAGTTTTGCTCATTTATGGTTAATTTACTTTGATTTTCGTTTATTCGTTTAATTTATTTTCCTTCTTTATTCACCAACGATAGATGATTTGTCTGGAAACTTTGAAAATATGACAATCGAGTCCGGTGGAAATGGCACCGGAAGTTTCGAGATGATAAATACCATCGAGCAGCCAACTGATTCAGAGTTTTCAGCCTCAGGTGACTCGTCGATTATTTATTTCATTTATTTAGTTCAGTTTGAATTTTTTTTTTCAATATTTGAAAATTTTTACTGAGTGCGGTTCGTTTCCTCAGAGGCTGCCCCAGCTCCATCACTTCCCAGGGAGGAGCCGGAGAAGATCAAAAAGTGGAGGGAGGAACAAGCAGCTCGACTCGAGGAGAAAGGTATTGTCTATAATCTAGAAGTTAGATGAGTCATTTGATTGTTATTTTTTCAATTATCTCGGTATGATAATGGAAAAAATATATAAACCGTTTTATGGAGAATTTCTTATCATACAATTATGTATTTCTGAAATATCTAAATAATTAGCGAATAACAATCATTAGGTACTCTTTCTAAGAATTCAAGCTTTGGAATCATTCAAATTTAAGTTTCCAATTTTTTGTGTTAGAATAATTAAGTATGGTTTAAAAAGTCTGAATATGTGATTTGTAGATGGTGTATGTATGTGTGTATGGGGTCTTTTTTCTTCATTTTTTTCGAAATTTTCTTAAATTAGCGATCAATCGGAATTCATGAATTTTTTCATAGATATGGACTAAAATTCAATTTTTCACACAGATTCTAAAAAATTTGATATTTTTCAAAAAACAGATTTTTCAACGATCACTCAAAAAATTGTCATCAAAATAGAATTAGTTATGCCTCCAAAAATTGATTACAATACTTTCTTGATTCTGTCAAAATATGTTGGGAGTTACACAATTCGTTGTTGAGTTACTGCTCATTGTTTATGCGATTTGACAGAGAAAATGGGTTTTTTTTATTATTGCTGAAAAAATCCTCCGCAATATCGATCAAATCAGTATATTTTAATGCCTTCTTAATAAAGTTGAAAAATGATTCGAACAGCATCTTTGCTCATCAAGTTACATAATACCGTTTTGAGATTTTCATATTAAAATCTCTATCTTTTTTAAACTCAGGTACCAGTCTTATGTTGCATACTTATTCATATTGATTCGTGGGCCCGATTAACTTCTGTCAGAAACTGGGTTAAACTCTGGCTAAATCCTAAAAAAATCCTGATTAAATCCTCGCTAAATGCAGATTAAACTTTGATTGAACCTGGACTGAAAACGAATTCGGGGGTCTAAATATAGAAAAATTTGACAGAACGAAATAATACGCAAAATTTTGATGACATTCCAATTGATTATGATACTACGACATGAATAAATAGAAAAGGAGAATAGTGACATACGAATTAAAAATAGAGAATCCATTCGGAAGCAAATTGCTAATTTATCAGCAACAATAACTATACTCATTTACAAAAAATGCAATTATGTCTCAAAGAAAAACCTGATGTACCCATACAAATGATGGAAATTTGGAATTGAAAGCTCTCATTACGTGCACATTATCTCTTTTATTTCTGAATAATTAATTCGGGTTTGTGAAGTAAAATTTTTATCAACGTAAAAATTTGTATCGGCAGCTAAGTCTATCCGTTGGAAAAACAAACTTTTTCAAGTCCTTGAGGTTTTATAGTAAACATATTTAAAAACAAAATGTCAATATACTTTTTGGGTCGATAGTTTCTTCAGCTGCAAAAAAATTCTTCGATACAAAATTTTGGAAGACTCCCATTCATTTTCAAACCACTAAATTTTAAATATCTTCATATAGATGCTGAGGAGGAAACGAAGAAGGAGGAATGGAGAGAAGCTGCCAAAAAAGAACTGGAGGAGTGGTACAAACATCACGCCGAGACTACCAGTAAAACAAAGGCCACAAACAGGTAAGTCTTATAAATCATAAATGATTTTATGAATCTGTTATTTTGCCTACCTCACTCCCATTGAATTTCAATTTTGTTATTTGTGTCAAGCCAATGTTGTAAAGCTAAAAAGGCAACTAAGCAATTGAGTAATTCAATATCTCAACGACATTATCCGTATTCTCATTGAATTCAGTCTTCGCGATTTTATATTATAAAATTTTACTATAAAGAGAAAAATCTATTATTCTCATTCTGCTTCTTAGGGAATCAGCCAAGTAAGTTTTTGAATTATTATACAATTATAATCAGCATGTCAATGCGATTCCAAAGCATTGAAGTCCTTGAATAAATGAAGAATTTACATTATGCACCGCACAGACTCGACGTAGCTAAGAGTCATCACAATAATCCACACGAAAATGTAATAAAAGAAACATTAGGAAATACTTTTCGAAAATATCTCGATGGAGATACGTTCGATGCTTCTCATGAAATCTAATACACGACGCTTCTGTTGATAAATTCTTGGGGTTTCATACAAGGCTTAGATCCATGGAGTAACTGATTCAAATGAATATTAATTGAGTAAAAAGTGAAAGAAGCCTAGTTGTATTTCATTAGAACAATGAGAACGCTTGGCAAATCGTGCGCATGCCAATTAGAACAACAAACAAACCAAATGTTCTTCTCCAAAAAATTTGATTGCAATTCTCACGAAAATGGTAAAAGACTTTCTGCTGGTGAGAATCTTCTGTATAAAAGATCTCTTATGACATCTTGCCTTGAAATTATCAGTTGTTGAGGTAATTTCATAAGAAATCCGTTAATGGAATATTATTCGAAATGAAAAATGAGATGACATGGTTTTTACGTGTCGAAAACTAGGTAGATTGCCAGGGGTATTTTATTCGCCCAACCCTGTGAAACAGGTTTTTTCACAATTTGGCTCACGATACTTGTCCTTGCAAAGAACTTCGTAGTTGAAAAAAGTCCTTTTATCTAGTTTATTAAGGATGTCTATCCAAAATCGCAAGAACTTAAAAAAATTGTTTTTTTTTTAACTGAGGGATGAAGATAATCCTTTCACTTTGGTACAAATTTCAATCCACCAACCCATATTCATTATTAAGAAATGAAATAGACAAAATGCACCAAAGGCATGCGCCAACATGCGCTTATAGGGGAGGGTGGGGTAAAATGGACACTTGACTTTTTAAAAAATATTCATAACTCAGAAACAGATTTATTAGTTGAGCTCAGTCTAAGCTAATCACCAACTGGAATCATTGTCCTTTCAATTGAAAAACAAAATTATTGCATTTCATGAATAATTAAACACGTTACGAACATTAAAAAAAAAATCAAAAGTGTCCATTTTACCCCGCCCTCCCCTATGGGATAGAATCATTCAAATATTTCCTCGTTTTGCCCGGTTACCCTAGATTTTTCTCTGGCGATTGGATTCAGTATGATTTAACACATTACCTTCAATTTTTATTTCTATTTTTAGTCTTCTAGTAGGTGAATTATCAATTTGAACATACATTTCATAAGAACCCGTGTATAAGGAAAAATTGGTTTATTCATTCCTGCCGAGACTATTGCGATTAATTTTTTTTTAACGTTAGGAAATTTAATTTTATATGTTCTGCTGTTAGCCGAAAAAATTACACAATTTTCCTTGACCATGAACAAAAAAAACATTTACCGACACTGGCTAAACATCCTTAAAGAATACTTTACGATATTTTACCCTGAAATGACTTGTCAAAATAATTTCATAGTGAATATCACAGGAGATTATTTTATAACAACAAATCTTTCATCGAGTGTTTTACCGAATCACCTAAATGATGAACGCTTTCAGAGAGAAATAAAAAATTTAAAAAGTCAAAAAACTGAAAAAATTAAATTATAAAGTTATTTCGTGTACAAAAAGGATTCTACTGAATGTTTCCATTAATCACCTCGATAATAGCTGATTTTAAGAAGAAATATCAGGAGATATTTTTGCAGTGGAGTCGATTTCCCCAAAAAAATCTTCCGGCATTTAGTCTCAAATAAATATGCCAATAATCGATTATTTTGTTTGAGGTGAGTCTATGAATGTTTCAACAATTCCAAAAGCAATTAAATTTTTCTGGAGCAGAACTGCTGCTTATACGTATCTCACACACCACAAACGCTACACTAAATGTTATGTTTTTTTTTAATACGAAAACAATTAGAAATATAGTAAAATGCCTCTGCATTTCCGGCATGACGAATAAAAGCACAGAATAAGCATCTTGAATCATAACGAAAAAACCCCCATGACATTGACTAGGAATGCCGAGAAGCAGTTTGTCGCTGAGGCGGACGAAGTGGAGCCTGGCACCGAGTGGGAGCGTATCGCCAAACTCTGCGATTTCAATCCAAAATCATCGAGAACATCCAAGGACGTATCCAGAATGCGTTCAATAATTCTCCAATTAAAGCAGACACCACCACCAACCACGTCCATCAATGCTTGATCAAATTAATTATCATGTGGGAATAATAAGTTCATATTGATGAAGAAAGGATAAATAAATATAAACTCATTAATTATCGTATGCACTAGGAACAATGGGACGGTTCCAAGTGCATTGAGATTGAGATCACTTGTAATGTTATTGTGAATAAAGTTTACGGATGAAATTAGAATTTTTGTCGCTCGTTTTATTTCCATCGAACTTTTGATAAATTATTTTTCCAGTTTTTTCTCACATGAAACGGTCAATGAAATGTTAACGGACGAAATAGTATCAGTAGAATTATTAATTTGTAAAAGCCATTGAAACACATTTTTCATGCTATGGTTTGTGATGATTCGTACAAGACTGTTCACTTTCCCTGCAGTGAAATTGGTTTTAAGGAAATTACATTTTTGATTTTTTCAATGCATCAAGTGTCTGAAAATTAATTGTCCATTGCTCACATTAAGTATTGTTGATAATTTTGTCCACAGACGTTTTCCCAAACCACGATTTTTATCTATTTCGAATGCAGTTGGGCTTTTATTTGTTCGTTGGTACATTTTCCATGAAACGAACCATTTTTTTAATGAATAAATCAAAAATAAATTATGACTAGGTGTTGAAGAGTTCATTAGTAATGTCATACGAAAATACTAGTACGAAAATTGAATTACAAAAACATAAATATAAAAAACTCAATTGAGGACAATGGAAATGTGTATTTGGCCTTAGGCCATAAGGTCAGACAAACATTTTTACAATTCAATTTCACGGTCGAAAAATTCAAATCATTAATTATTAATAGAACATGTTACAACGAATAGGAGAAGCCCAATCACATAAAAATTGAACGAAGATATTGCCTCAATGAAGAGTTGTATAAACAGAATTATTTTAAAAATTTCTAATCTCAAAAGACAATTAACATTCATAGAATCGATAAATCCGCATTGTGTTCTCCTTAACTGGGGCTTTCCCCTTTTGCAGTGAAAAAATTCAAAAAATGTTTTTTTCAAAACCCATTGCATCTCAAGGACTATCCCCTTGATAAACCCTCAAGATCGAACTTTCAGAGAAGAAATTTAAAGCAAATCAAACATCTCTCCTCTTCAATATTATAAAACACTTTTCAAAAATAGACTATCAGCTAGAATCGTTACTTTAAATTACAGAAAAAAAAAATATATTAGTTCACTGTTTAGGAATGAAAAAACTTGGCATATTTGAGTTTAGTTTGTTAAAGCTCGAGACATTTCTCAATGCTTTCTGCTACCACCCCTCATCCTTTTGATTATTTCTCCGGAGTAAGAAGTAGTCTCCTCCTGGGTGTGCAGACAACCACTTGATTCCTCTTTCTAGCGAGTTCGACATCATGCTTCCACCGATATATCAATGGAAAGATCTCAGCATCGATGGTCTCAGGCATAGCATTGATCACATCGATATCATTTTTCCCAGGATAGCTCCCATCAATAAACAGATTATCGTAGACAGCATCATCTTCCTCAGCAAGGCTGTAGTCATCCCCCGAGTCTTCAGCATCACTCCCAATCTGCGGTGTTTCTGGTGGTGTCTGGAACTTCTCATCTGCAATAAAATCATCAAGAGTTAGTGCTAACTTTGATTGTCAGTTAAAGTCCACAATCGATTATAAAAGTCACCTGCGTCGGAGTCAGTGCTGGTGTCAGTTGGAGTCGACCTGTTGAGCGAGCACATCTCCAGCTGTTTTATCAACATCTCCATGTCATCCAGCTCCTCCGATACTCCATTATCCCCAATCTCCTCCCCATCCCCACGATCAGAAGTTAAACGTCTCCTTCCTTTACCTGCATTCCTCATCGACATCTTCGTAGCCTTCTCAGCCTCCAGCTTCACCTTATCCTCCTGCAGTCGCGTAGACCTCGTCCTGAAGTATCTCTCCAGCTTGGACAGTCCCTCGATGCAACTGAGATCAGCAGCATCGTTCATAAATGGCCACCACTCGCTCCAGTTCACCTGGTACTCGTGTGCTAGCTCTCTTCCAACAGTTTCAAGTCCTTTCTCGGTGTTCTGGAGTCTCACCCCTGGGTCTCGGCTCCTTGGGCTGAGGAACGTGAAGGAGTCGTTGTGATCATTGGTTTTCGTTGGGGTCCTGGACATCCTCGGTGGGGTTTTCCATTTTCTCCTGAACTCGATAGCCTGGGACTTTGGCATTGGCCCAGCCATTGCCTTCACTTCGACTTTGGGGGACAGTGGATCGATCTTCAGTCTTGGAGGGCTTGACGGGGAGAAGGGCATCCCTATCGTTGGCTGGAGGGAGTTGTCCTCTGCCCTCCACACTGGCACGTAATACTGGTCCTCGAAGAGCATTCTTATTTCTCTGGCTAGACTCTCGTCGTCCTGACCTTTTCTACTGCAGACCACCTGGATGGGCGTCTGGCCGCACTTGTTTTTCACGGTTTTTAGGCACTGGGGGTACGACAGAAGGACCTTCACCACCTCGATCTTCCCGTATTTTGCTGCAAAATGGAGGGGAGTCTCGTTCAGACCCTTGTCGGGAGTATTCAAGTATAGATCCAACCAGATTTTTGCAGTTGTTTCGTAGGTCGATTTGCAGCCTTTACCGTACAGGAGCTCCACGAATTTTGGGTCAGATACGATTTCTAAGAGCTTCTCGCACATTTGGGCTTCTTGGGTCTTGGAGGACGCTATGTGCAAGGCATTGTATCTACAACCTTCCTGGAAAAGCAGAAATCAATGGGGAGAATTAACCACCTACACAAAAAGCTGAACGTAAATTACGGTTAAGGAGTTGTGTTTTACACTTTTTCAAGCGTATTTTACGGTTCAAATCGCCGTAATAATTACATAATAGTAATTTACCAAATGCGTACCAAAAAAAATTTTTTTTAAGCATGAATAAAAACTAAAATATATCGATTGCAAGTATTAAAGCAAAAACCTAGAAACAGAAATATACTGTTATTTAAAAAATTGCTCACAAAAACATCTTTTGTCATAATAAATAAACTCGAGAGGCACTACTGACCAAAGTTTATAGAAAAAAATTATAAATATAGTTCATAGACTTTTTTCAATACTAGTTTTTAAGGAATGTAAATATTGTAAATAATGATTGTTTATATTTTGAATAAAAACCTGTTTTAAAAAAAAAGTGAGTGTGGGATTGGCATGCGGGAGACCCGGGTTCGATTCCCGGCTGGGGGGGGGGGGGGCAAAATTTGTGACATCTAGTAATTTACAATGTTTTTTCCGTATTACGTTTATTTATCCGTATTTAACGACGAAGAAAAAAATTATTTAAAGCATAAAATACGGTGTTTTTTTCGTAAATTACGTACAAGTAAATCGTAAAATCTGTTTCTATTGAGATCGTAATTTACAATTCTGATTTCATACGGATTAAATACGCTTAGTGAAACGTAGAAGACGCTTTGTTTCAGCGTAATTTCTGTTTTTATTTTTACTATAAAATACGACTTTTTGGAGCCTAAATTTCTATTTTCATGACGGAAAAAGCCACTAGACATATTGGCATTGAGCGTAAATTACGTTTAGTAAACCGTAAATTGCGCTTAGGAAAATGTAATTCACATTGTATTTTTTCTGTGTAATTCTAGGAAGTAATTTTGTGAACATTCCAGCACTAAAAGGGTGAGGGATCCTAGGAAGACGTGGAATACACTCATCGCAGATTAGATTTTAACGCTCTGCTCTTTTTTTTATCTTCGATATGAGATGAAGTTTGTTTGATTATATCGTTGAGTCAACAGATACTGAAAATTCTAGGAAGTTTATTTTGTCACGCTATTAAAGATGTCAAAAAATGTTTTCGTCACTGAGACAATTCTCTACAAAAGATCCACACTTTCTCAATTTCTCTCGTTCGAGTCGGATTACATCAACTCGAACGTAATAGTTCCGTCAATTTCGCAAATATACTCGAAAATGAAGGATTTTATAGTGAAATGAAAAAAAAAAACTTTTATTGTAGTTAGGAGAGCTCTCAAGGACAAGAACAAGAAAGTTTTCTAAAATTTCCTCCAAAATCTACTCATCATAAAGACAATCGATTAATGAATCAATTCAATAGTTAATCAGATGAATCTTGACTCACATGTAACAGTTCAATTAATTTCTGGGATGCTTCGGACATTCCGCTTCCCATTCTAGCTGAGAAAATTGTTCACAACAAAATTCTCTTAACTCGACCTCCTATTCTGATCCGAGTCATGAATAAAATATCCAATATGATTTCAAGGGGTGTTGGACAACATGAAAACAACATTTATCTAATTGTCATTTGGCAACTTCTCCCTAATTATTTTAGCTGTAACAGGCTCATGACACGATAAATGTTTAGTCCTGTTATAAAATTAAACCTGTTATGTATGAAGATGCTGCGCGCCGCAAATCATCGCTCAGGAACTGAGTGACAAAAAGTTCATACATAATATTTGAACCAGGGACAATTTTTTATCGAAATATTAGTCGAAACTTTGATAAATAAATAAATTTCAAAATGCATCTTCCCCATTTCTCATAATTGTGATGCCAAAATTGTTGATCATGTTCAAAAAACTATTTCAAAAATTTATACGTTGGGATGTTTTAAGTCTGAGACCATTTTGGCGTACAGAATTGGATTCCTAAGGAAAAATCATGCAAAAAATAGTACTTTTAAAATTTTTCCCTCGAAAAACGAAAAAATTTCTTTCCACGGGTGAACCTCCCTTTAACAACAGTGGAAATGAACCAAAAACTTAATTATCAAGATAATTGAACATTAGACAAGACAGATCACAGGTGATAATGCAGTCAATTCTTCACATATCTCGAGCGCAACGAATCTTAGGAGAAAGTGTCCAGAGACATTTTATCAAGCTGAAGAAATTCTCCACAGTAAAGCCATAGCCATGTTCATAAATTATAATTACCGTTAAATTTTGAAACTGTTATTTAGTAAACATCACCCTTAAATTTTTAATTATTTTGGTAATCATCAATTTAAATATTCAAATTCTGAACTATTTAATTAATCAACAATTTAGGTACAAAGATTGCCGATTATTTGGTCAATTGGAAATCCCTCTTAAGAAATTAGAATTATTTACTCAATGGAAAAATTCGCAGTGCCACATTATCAAATATTTAATTCATCATCAATCGCAAATTTAAATTACTAATATCATACTATTTTTATATTTTGATGAATATATTTAAGCCTTTATCAATGTAAGTCGCAAATTCCTTTGATATTGATAAAATTTAATATTGATGGCCATCCCTGCAGTAAAGATCCTTTAAGATTTTCTCCTAAACCATGATTCTAACACGAAAATGATTGAACAATTGGTAAATGGGACAATTAGAAAAGTACGAACGAAATTTCTCTTGAAAATAATCTCTCAGGAATTGACCCCTTACCTGAAGAATTGCTGGAGTATCACCAGACGAAATGAGATACCTAGGATTCTCCCAGGCCATCTTGATCACAGTATCTAACTCTCCCCTCTCGATGTGCTTCCTGAAGATCACCAGTTCCTGAGACCTAGGGGCTCTGAACGAACTAGCTTTTTCCTCAGCATTGACTACCTGAACTTTCGGGAGTTTGTTGGCACCTGCCTCTTCGAAGCCATGCTCAGCGTATTTCTCAGCTGCTAACCTTGACTTGAAGGTCTTCAGGCGACCTGTACGAGAGGTCTTGATGACAGCCAGTGCCGCCTGTTTGTCCGTGTACACGTGGATTTCACCTACATGTCATCATTCAAGTTTTATCTAGTAGTTAACCTCCAAAATTCAGAGAAAAAGATGTCTTCTTGGTTAGATTCTGGAAACATTTTTATTTACCTTCAGCATCACCTTCGGAATCTCTCGGGATGTACACCGCATGGTAGACAAGGTCATTATTGGGGTTATCACAATGATTATTATTCACTCGGGATGTTTTGTTGTCACTCTCCTCGGTCTCCCCCATCCTGTCATTTCTCCAGTAACTCGGGAAAAAATAACGAGCCAGGGTTGCTGAATTTATCACGCGCACCGGTTGCCAATCCTCGGGAATTTGACATTCAAAGTGACATTCACCTGTCAATGCCTCGGCAACAACTGTATTTTTTTTGTTTTGGTTTGTTGTAGGTGGATAATAACAGAACACGTCAAAAGACGTTGGAACGTTTTCTCATTTTTCGAATCTCGAGGGTGGCAACACGCAGGCGCCATTTTCAAGGGTCTGCGCGTGCGCGAGGTACTTGGTCACCGGGAAATTATGAAATATTTCGGGTGGGGACGTACTTCAAGGCTTCATGTATTTATTTATTTAGTTTTTTAGTTTAGTTTTATTTATTTAGTAAAACATTTTATCAACTTCGGATGAGTGAATTAATCTCAATGAGCAGACAACAATTGAAAATATATTCCAAGAACTGGTAAGAATTAATGTAATCCGTGGTTTCTTGGAATTTGATTGTTATTTCATTTAATTAATTATTCTGTCAACTTTAAATGCGTTGATGAATTCCAATCAATTGATAGTAATTGAAAAGATTGGAAGAACTCATGTTTGAAGAATCAATTTAAAAAATTGACAAATTTTTCATGAGAGACGTGTTTAAAGCTATGAACGCATGAAAACATTCTATTGAAATTCTACGGGGTTTCTGTAGGATTTCTATTGAAATTCTATTGAAAAATTCTACTTCTTTTTTGCCCTGATTCTATCGCATATTTAATAGGAAAAAACCCATATATTTTGAATTTCTGTTCGAATTTTCTTCTTGAGATTTTTTCCATTAGAATTATTGGGCACAAATTTTCTAAGTTTTTTCCACTGGATAAATAAATCGAATTTTTCAATAGAAATCCAATAGAAATCCTATAGAAGCCCTATGGAATTCTTGTGAAATTCCAACACACTTTTCCAACGAATTCGATTTCATACGTGTATACTTCGGAGATTATATCGCTAATGGGTAAGTTTAACAGCAACAGCCAGAAAATATTTTTATACAGAATGTTTTTATATGGAATTTTATCAACTTTAACCCACCCTGCAGGACGATACCCTGTATCGACCCATGGAAATGTGAATGACTTTTCAAAATTATTTCCAAAACTATGGAAAGTAACTCAACCAAACAAATAACAATGGAAAAAGGAATACCGTAGCTTCAGTTACACATCGGTTTCATAATTTTCTGTTGATTAGAAGTCATCGCATCCTATAGTTGTATCGAGTGTACATCACAAAAAAACGTTTGGAAACAAAAGGACTGGTCCGTGAGGGTTAAACAAAAAATTTCTGAGGTTTTCTGGTAAAATCATTCGGTGTCAGAATAAACGCATGATCACAACAAAATTTTTTACTTATCGCGCTATAGACGTGTTCCTCTCAAAATTTTTATTTGATTTAATAAATTATTTCAATGAATGAGATTTTTATAACACCAGAGAAGAATGATGAATAATGAGTGGAATCGGTTATTTGATAAATTGCAATAGCAATTGAAATTTATTTGATGAATTGCAATAGCAAATTGCAATTGCCATTTTACTTATCAGAGAAAGTGCTGTGACTGTTGTAATTTTAAGGAATCTGATGGACTTTTACACCTCATTCTCAAGTGCCCTCTTTATGATGATATCAGAGCTGTATTTTTCCCGAAATTTTCAATGTCACCAACAGATTCACCTTGTTTTGAAGAATTTCTAACACGATGTAATTTCCAAGACACAAAAATTTTTTGTAACTTCCTATCCAAATCCCTAAACCAAAAACACAATTCCTTCCCCTAACTCATTCCAGTGTCTTTTGTAAATAATTTGTCTTCGATACATAGACTTTGTAATCACTCAAAATAGTGCCTCAAGCAAAATAACGTACAAATTTTCTGGTATTTTGGTAGCAATTTAAGAATTTCTTTGTACTTACTCTCCCCATGCAATGGGACTTTAGGTCCTTCAGCATTAATAAATAATAATAATAATAAATTGCAATAGCGATAAAAAAATTAAAAGAGAAAGAACTGAGAAATTTTTCGTGAGGGTACACTGACGGCAAAATATCGTAGTTTCTACGGAATGTATCTCATTGGATACATGTTCTTTCATATCAAAATAGAATTTTATCGTTTTAACGTTGTAATTCTTAATTTCAAGGGTGGATTCCGCAGAGAGTGTAGATAACGGAATATTCCTTCGAAAATGAGGCATTATCTCATTCAAAATATGTTATTGAATACGATTCTGTTGATGTCGTCTACAATAAGGTTTCAAATCGACGAAACGTGATGTATTCAAATAATTATTAAAATTTGACGAAATATTCAGGGAATACGAAGGAATATATGATGGTTTGGAGCTCTCATTAGATCGACTCATAAGTTTCCTGTTTGGAGCCTTCAAAATCAACTATCGAAGGATACAGTTTAATCATACAATCGGCTGAAAGTGACGACATATTCCGTATCGTCAATAGATTGTTTTATTGGGACAATTAAAAAGCACTAGGCGATTGAGTCAAAAAATAATCCGTCCGTTTCACTACATTTTTCTCTCAGTGTAGTATTCACAATGACATTGATGACGGGTGAATACCCGAGAAATATTGAAACACATCTTTGAAAAAAATTTCGTCTGCTTCAATGTCATATGCTGTTGAGATCACTCGGTTTACCGGGACGACTGCATCATTACGGAGATTTCGGCTTGAGCTTTACATTGCTTTTCTTTACGATTTTCAATGCTTCAAATTGTTTCATCAATTTTGAATGATTGAATTAATTTTAATAAGTGAGAAATGATTGCACTGAGAGACAAATCGACATGATATGACAAAAGTAATTTCTTGAGTGGAGAACATCGCATGCATATTCGGTCAATTCGTGGTAGGTTTCAGATAACAAATCGGTGTCCTTCGGGCAAAGAGAGGATGATACCGAGTGAAAAAAAGATTTTTTTTTGGAAATTAGATAATATTTCTGAAGAGATAAAGTAAGTTTGAGAGAAGGAAAAGATGTTATTGCTTTCTTTCAAACTCATTGCGATTGAGAGCAAGTGAAGGTTATATTTTAGAAATATCTGAAGGCTCTCCCCTCTATAAATTTTGTATTCATTCAATATGAAAGTCTCTGATCCATGATTCACTGAATCGCAGCTTTTAGTATTCTCAGTAATTTTCTCATCTTTGAACATGAAATGAACGATTTCTTGAGGCATGAAACTGTCATTTTATCGCCAAGTGTTCGTGTTCAGGACATGAACATTTCACAGGATTCTTACACGGTCTGATTCATTATGCGGAATTCTTATCCCAAGCGTTTTATCCTTAAGAAATGAGATAATTGATGCAAGAAATTACATTTCTTGCTTGCACGGAAAATCAAAATTTTTTGAAAAGACTAAATCTATTTTTGCAATTAAAATTTTCAGTCTCGGGGTACGTTTCGCATGTTTGGCACATAAAATCCTTTTTCGCCACGGCGGGCGGAAAGGACACATTTTCCTCTCGCTTCGCGGGAGAAAATCGGCCTTTCCGCCTACGCCGTGACGAAAAATAACGTTATCACCACGCGAGGTAAAATAAAGGATCCTTACCCTCGCCTTCGGCTCGGGTGGTACAACTCCTTTATTCTCCCTCCCTTGGTGGGAAATATACTATTTTCACACACCTGCACGGAAAGTTCGTACTTTGCTCCCTGATGAGCGGGAGGAAAGTGAGTACTTCCCGCCCTCGGGTGGAAAGTTACTCCCTCGGGCGGAAGTCAAGACTTTCCGCGCTTGGGAGCAACTTTCCACCCTTTTTCTTTGATGAGCGGGAGGAAAGTACTCACTTTCATCCCGCTCATCAAAGAGCAAAATACGAACTTTCCTTTGCAGGCGTGTTAAAAAATAGCATGTGCACCTCGGGCGGGAAAACATGACTTTCCGCCCTTGATGCACAATATACTATTTTGATCATTTTTAACAAACGATTTTTTTTCTTATTTTTCTCTCAGTGTTCCTTAAAACATGATCTTTGTCAAGATCTTGAATCCATGTCTTTTCAACTAGGCGACATTCCAACTAACAACATTTCAACTGCTCAGATTTAAACACACGCCAAACGGATGAAATTATTATTAATTATTGTCGTTAATTGAAATGTCGTAGTTCAAATGTCGCCTAGTTGAAAAGACTGGATTCCCTAAATCTCTCAAAACGTCAGAGATTCAAACAAAATATTAAATCATGGAAAATCCTTAAAAAACACAACTGCTAATACTAAATTATTGATCTCTTGTAATTGTTAGTATAAAAACAAATTGAATCTTTGTATGATATTAATCATTAATGTATTAGTTCAGTGGTTCAATTGAGTTGCATCACGTCGTGTGCTGAAAAGCAAAGAATAAAAAAAATGAAAATTAAAAAAATTTCGGCTAATTCCTAAAAATATAGTAATTTCACAAAAACTCGTTGATATGCTGTAGTGGGTGCAAGTCTTGTTTGGGCCAATAAAATCGCTAGTTGAAAATTGTCAAAAAAAAAATTAGTTTAGTTCGAATTTGAAAGTCTCAAATATGAATAATTGTTCTGCTTTCGACAGCGACGAAATATTTGGCTCAAGAGACGGATGATTAACATCAGACGGTGCCTTTTCAAGATGAAAATATCTCATAAAGAGGAAAATTTATCAACAAATATTTTATCCCTAAATTACAAGATTGCTATCATATCATTATTATTGTTTCATTTAAGGATTCATTTCTTGTCTGTGATTATTAGACAGCCGAAACGAAAAACTACTATCCCTTGTTCCGCATAAAACAAAGATTTTTCGGGAGCAAAATACGTACGGGAGTATCGAATAACGAAGGAGTAGTGCTGGAAATGACATTTCTTCCGTGTACAGAGAATGCAATTTTTTTTGAACTACTAAATCTATTTTTGCGACAAAAATTTTTCATTCCGGCGCACTCTCTGCATGTTTGGCACAAAAAAAATCCTTTTTTGATAATTTTCAAAAAACTATTTTCTTGGCACAAGTAAGACCTGTTTGAGAACTCTGTCGTATTTCTCTCAGTGTAGTTGAAACGTCGCCTAGATGAAAAGACGTGCCACCAAGATCTTACCATCATTACATGAATTATTTCATCAACTCTAAATGATTGCGTTACTTTCGACGACTGTGGAATAATCGATAGAACGATGCAATCAATCACTTGACGCATTCTGGCGCCTAGTTAATAGAAATTTGTAAATGCAAAACGAATAAAAACTGAGGGATATTGCTTTCTCTGGGTTCAATTACTGTAAGTAATTGTTCATTCAAATGCAACAAACTGCACTGTTATTCTCCCCCCACCACCCCGAATCCTGACGCGTGCGGCATAGGGCAGAGCGCATCCGCCACCCCTGGGGACCCAGCCCGTGCATCCCACCCAGTGGCTCTCATCCTAGAAAACTCCATTACACCAGAACACAATCGTCCAGCACTGACATGAAAACAAGTTACTGTTTTTATCGTTATTTATCAATAATGTGAGATCCCATTGTTACCCCAGTGTTATCGATAAAATAGTGTAGCTGATAAGTGAGTATTGAATACAGATCCTCAAGATTTTCATACAAAAGTCGATTGGAATTTTTCATTCATCAATTTTTGCCCCATTGTGACCTGTGCACCAATACAGTTGCATTGATTCATGGATTTAAGGACCTGACTGCCAGGTTATGTCAAATAAAAATTGATATTTACATTTCGGAGGATTCTCGAGGCTTTCAGGGGGCCATGGGGCAGGGTACAGAGTGTCCGGATAGACCCACTGAGGTCAGTGTCATCAGATTTGTCTCCAGGAATCGGACGATCGAGGAAATTGCTCCGAAAAAGGTAATGCAGGCTAGATTGCATCTTCGATGTGTTCTGTCTCTCTCTCTCTCTCGCTTACACCGCCATTGATGCCCCCCCCCCCCTCCTTAGACGGAGGTCATTGACCTCTAATCCAAAACATTCCAGGGACTGGAGACAAAGAGACCCTTTCCTGCTGCCCCAATGAATTCTATATTTTTTATTGCGCCTTGATTAGGGTGAATCGTCCAGTGTTCGAACGAATAAGGTCACAGTTATTTTTGACGTAGATTTAAAAATATAACCAAGTCGAAAATTGATTTAAGAATAATTATAACTCCCCTGTACATCTCCATACATAATAGAAAAAAATATTATGGACATTAATTGACGATACAATTAATGATATGAATACAACCAGCTGACAATGTGTGAAAACCCAGTAATCGAAATGCGTATTCTGTAATGGGACAATGCTATTGGCGACGTGTCATCGAAAACTGTTTTTTCCGCTGGTAATAAGGTAACTTAGACATTTTCAATCATCACAATATCATTTGGAAATGTTATAATTTTATTTTTCATGTATAATGCGAGGCATCTCTACCTTCTACTAATTTATTTGATAGAAACAGTACCAATTAGTTCGATTACTGGTCTGGTTCGAACACTGGTTGGTTCACCCTATTTGGATTATTTGGACTCATGACTTTTCCTGGGTTATTTCAGGAAATTTTTACGTGTAAACAACAGGGATGCGGAAAAATCTTCACTAATCAGGATGAGTTCAAGACGCATGAGGCCCTGGAGGAATTGAAAATCCGATTTATGTAAATGGAAATTATTTTCGTACTTTATGGAGTGGAATTGGAGGGGGGATTTCGGGAGGGCAGGGGGAAATTTGAGGAGTCTGATGTGATATTGGTGTTTATTGGAAATTATTTAGATGGGGAGGGATGAAATCTTTTTATACGCTGAGAAAAAAATTATTTAGGAAATAAATATTTATTTGAGAGAAGTAAATCGTTCTTCAAAGATACAATGTACTAGGCCAATTAGTTCCAGACGCTCCAAATTAAGTTCAATCATGGAATAATTATCTTGCGTAGGACATTGAATGAACTACTCAACAATGATTAATACAAAAATTATTGCACATTCCGGCACGTGAGAAAATTCAAAAAGTGCATAATAATCGAAGAAGTTTATGGAACGTCATTTGCGACATAATGAATTCATGACGAATTATAATTGCAATGCGTGGAACCTAATAGACCTTTTCATTCTGGAAATTCAGGGGAAATATTTATTCCGTTCGTCAAACTAAAACATCTCCGGAAAAATGATGACAAATTCTGATAAACATTTACATTTAAGGCCAGGGTGGATTATCTTTCGAACGTTATCTCGATTTTTTTTCCATCTTCATAATGTAAGATATATCACAATTTCCATTGGATTTTACATCACGCAAAAGTCCCTAAAAATTATGATTGTACAATAAAAAAATTAGAAAAAAACTGGACATTTTCAAAGAGCGTTTTTAATAAAGATTAAGAAATAAGTCCGATAGAGAGGAAATAGTGAATGGATAATATATTATGGTAACTAACGATCTGACAGCCATTGGCCACTGTGACAAATGACGACCTAACAGCCATTAGATACATCAAATTATTAATTTGCAATTTCCTCCCTATTGGCTTTATTTCCCAATATTATTCAAAAACGCCCTTTGAAAATGTTCAGCTTTTTTTCAACGTTTTTTTGATTGCACAATCATAATTTTTGGAAAATTTTACAGATTTCCTTCCCTCGGTATAAAGTCAAAAAGACCTGAAATGGTATTTCGTTCCACGATTACTTGGCTTTTCAGTAATTTCCCCTCAATTTTTTTCTCCTTGAGCCCCTTGAAATTTTCAAATTATTCTTTCTTCACACAGATGCCGCGAGCCAGGCTGCGGTAAGGAGTTATCAGACCCAGGAACGATGTGGCGTCATTACCAGGAGTTCCACAGTAACGAGACGAGCGTATTCGTCTGTCCCTACACAAGCTGTGGCTCCTTGCACAGTACAAGTGAGAACCTAGAAGAGCACATAGAGAACAGTCACAGACAGCCCCCAACCCTGCCAACGGAGCCTGAGATAATTTGCTTCGAGGGTCCAGTGAATAATCAAGTGAACGGCGAGGACGAACCCACAAAAACCACTGCCGACGACGAAGAAGAGGAACTAGAGGAGGAGGACACGCCTCAGAACGAGGACGACGATTTCTTCGACCGCGATAAGAAAAACGCTAGATTGATAAAGACCACTGCCACTCATAAATCAAATAACTATATAATCGCACCAAAAGGTGCTCAAAATAACGAAAGATACTCGAGTAAGGATGAAAGACTGACTCGAAACGATACTGATGGCAAAATCACTGTCGACACTAGTGAGATTGACGAATATAGTAACGATTACCAAAATAATTCACGAATAACTGAAGCCTCTGAAGAGGAGTATTTCATAAATATTTATGAAGACACACCGAAGGTTGACGCCGAGGAAATTGTCTTCGAGGCCACTGAGGAGAAGATTCAGGATCACAGGATTGACCTGGGCAATCTAGAGAGTGTCTTCAGGAGTGGATTCGAGGGGGAAACGAAGAAAATTGACTCTAGTAATGCTGAGGGCAATGGCAACTGCAGCGAGGACGAGGAGTACACACCAAAGAAACAGAGAATGTCTAGGTACAAGCAGGAGCAACCGTACAAATGTGAAATCAATGGGTGTGGAAAAACGTACAAGTACATATCTCATTATAGACATCATCAGGATAGTCACAAGGTGCAGGAGAATAACTCAGTTAATAAATTGAGTAAGCCCACGAGTAGGCAGAGTAAGGGGAAAGCTACTACTGTTAGTTTTTTCCTGTAAGTATGATCATTACTTTTTACGATGAATAATTTTTTTTACAATCGAAAAAATGATAAACTCTATATAAGGTGCCATTTGTGGGCATTTAAATGTTTTTTTATAATCTGGTAATGATTGATGATTTAAGGCCCGGGTGTACTATCCTTCGAATGTTATCTGGATTTTTTTTATCTTTCGTAATCCAAAATTGTCAATTGAGTGGTACGTCATGTAGAAATTCCCAAAAATTATGATAGAATGATAAAAAAAAATAGAAAAAATTCTGAACTTTTTCAAAGAGCGTTTTTAATTGAGATTCAGAATGAGTTGAAAAAAGTGGAAATTACAAATATCTGATTCGCTGTGGCAGATTATCTATTAGCTGTCATTTTCCATGGTGGATAACAAAACACTAATCCTCATGAGAAGTGACTGCTAGGTATCTCAATTTTCAAAACTAGTATGTAGTCATCTGCCATTTTTATGTGATAAAAGTGTGATTAAAAAATTCTCCAAAATATTAGAACTTTTTTCAAAGAGCCTTTTCCGTAATAAATGTCTCTGTGCAATGTGGAAAAAGATTTACGAAATCAGTCTTCTCCCTGCATGATATTGGGTGACAGGCCGCCATTTGTCACCGTAAGTCAGATACATTTTTCAGTTTCTTGTTATTCAACTTATTCTGAATATAAATTGAAAATGTCCTTTGAAAAAATTGACAATTTTTTCTACTTTTTAAAATTATTCATTCATAATTTGTCAAAACTTATGCATGATGCAGGACTTAATTGACAATTTCACATGGCGAAAGATGAAAAAAAACATTGAGATAACGTTCAAAAGATAGTACACCCGGGCCTTGACCAGTAAAATTGTTGAGAAAAATTGTTGATGGGAAATATTTCAATGAAGAAGTTGAACTCAAGTACAACATTATGAGTTATATTTAACATCAAAGATTGATTAATGACAGTCAAGTAAAATTAAACATTTGTTAAGGATGTTTAACCAAAAATGCAAGCACTCAAAAAAATTGTTTTTTTTTTCAATTGATGAACAAAGTTATCTTCTTTATTTGATAAAAATTCTAATCCACCAACTTGAGTTGATTACTCAGAATGTCGTGATTTATACTAAATTTCGTTTAGCATTTATGTCAGATTTTAATGTTGAAAATTTAAGTTATGCTTATACTACTTTAATCATCAAAGGTATAGGTTTCACACAGGGAAAAAATCTTAAGGCCCGCGTCTATTATCTTTCGAACGTGATCTTGGTTATTTTTTTCTCTTTTGATAATGTGAAATGTTCTTCAATTGCTATTCAGTTTTACATAGCCCTGGAGTCTTCAAAAATTCTGATTGTACAATCAAAAAAACGTTGAAAAAAACTGAACATTTTCAAAGAGCGTTTTTCAATAATATTGGGAAATAAACCCAATAGGGAGAAAATTGCAAATTAATAATTTACAGTATCTAATGGCTGCTCGTCATCATTTGTCTCGGTAGCCAATGGCTGTCAGATCGTTATTTGCCACGATAAATTATCCATTTACAATTTCCTCTCTGTCGGACTTATTTTCTAATCTTTATTACAAATGCTCTTTGAAAATGTTCAGTTTTTCTTCTACTTTTTTTTATTGTATAATCATAGTTTTTAGAGACTCCTGCATGATGTAAAACCCAGTGGAACTTGTGATATATTTTAGAGTATGAAGATGGAAAAATAATCGAGAAAACGTTCGAAAGATAATCCATGTGGGTCTTAAGTTGAAAAAAATCAAGAATATAATTTCTTCGAAAATCATTTTATTGTAGAAAGAGCCATTTGCAAAGCCTCAAAATCGCGTTCCAGCAAGTTCTTCCACTAATTCCGTATCTGTTTCCATTACAGATGCAAAATTCCAGGATGTGGAGCGCAGGCCAGCAACGTAACAACCCTGTGGAAGCACTATCAGGATAATCACGCAAATTCAAAGGCAAATGTCTCTCAATCCACGAAAAACAATCAATCATTTCGGTAAAAATCAATAGTCCAATTATCTTGACAAAAATAGTAAATGAATGAATGAACATTTACAGATGTAAAATAACCAACTGCGAAATGGAATTTCGCTCTAGTGCAATGCTGTACAAGCACTTCAATCAGATCCATACAAACGTGACACAAATTGGTGGTAGCACAAATGGAAAGACTGGCAATGGGAATATTCGTTTTAGGAACGATGGAGTTGCCCAGGTAAATTTTAAGACTGAATTCAAAGCCAAGTATGTTAACACGACTGATGATTACGATGATGATGAGCGAGATATGTCGAATGGACTAAGAATTAAGGAGGAGTCACGCGATTGATTTATCACAGTTTTAAGAGAATAATTTATTGAGTGGATTTTCTGGATTTAGTGGGGATTATAATCTCCCGCAGATGACTGGAAAAAATAATAAATGAATGAGAAAAAAGACCGCAAAATTGGAGCAAACTTTAAAAATAATGGAGGAATGATTTTAAATTAAAGTGTTCACTTTTACTGTTAACAATTAGGAGTATTACGTAGGCGTTATATACTGAATTGACTGCCACTTGTGATTATATACAAGTAATAGTAATTTTTTTTAATCGTTCCTAGAGAGCTTAATGCTCGAAATAAATTTCACGATCTTCTGAGATTAGACAAACGAAAGAGAAATTTTAAAAAGCTAAAGGATAAAATTGTACTTCCGTCTCGTGTGTTCCTCCTCAGGTTCACACTAATATAATTCACTTCTATTTGACGTCACAATGATGATGTCAATGCAGATAGTTTGATAATATGGAATTAATTTATTTATCATTAAATTGTGATTCAAGCCTGAAATCTCTAAGTCTAATCGTCACAATGAAATCCACTACTTGAAGATTATTGATATTCCGAATCAAATCAGTCCGAACGCGTCACTCAACTTTGCTACATTAATATAATTGATAAAACGGTAAATAGGTTGTATTTAAAATTGCTTGAACAAAAAGACTATGCACGATAGTCGTATTGCTAACGTGTGAATATCTTAGGATTAATAAGAAAAATTATTCAAAGGTCATTGAAGTTATTAGGATAATTAATGATTAGGCTTTGGTGTCTCATTGAGCTCGACTCATAAATTCAATGAATTTTTCCAGATTTATTACTTTGTAATTTATATTTAATTATAGATTGGCACAAAAGACTCCTGAATTATTCAATTCAGTCGTACTGATTTCTACTGTTTTATATATTAATTAATTATTTATATCGTTTTTTAATGGTGAAATTATTGATGTCGATTTCGAAGGGGGATGAGTGTTTTAATGGACTTTGTTTGTGAAAAAAAACTCGACTGTACACAATTATTGTTCTTTCCTTAGTCCTTGAGAAAAATAATAAAAAAAAACATCTGTGCAATAATTCATTCCGATGCAAATTTCCTTCTCAAAAATTCATGAACTTACCACGAGAGTCATTATTTCTCTGAGTGACAGAATGAAATTGAAGGAATCATAACTCTCATATTCTCTAGCATGCCTTGAGATCAGTGGAGATAATTTGCAATTATTCCTTTTTTGTATTACGAAAGCCTGCGAGGGAGTCGAGAACAAAGATTGCGAGCAAATGAGAAATGGGAACGAAGGTCGAAATCCATGGAGACCGCATTCCAGACGAGATTGATCCCATTTTCTTCGGTCGAATATAGATAAAGGAGTAGATAAATGGATGAATAAATTTTACGACTCGGCATAAATTATTTTACTGAATAGTCGCTCTCTTTTATTTACAAAACTCTAATATACATAAAAATAATGATTGTAGTAGGTAAAAGTAATAATTTATTTACAGTATAGTTCAACGCACCTCGTTAATTTGTCACTCACATTTTCTTATGCTTCAGATCCTTTCGTAACTGGCGGATAAATGCACTAGTTATAAATATTGTTGTTTATCAGATTCGAAAGCTCACAATTGAAAACAAAGGAGTGCAAGATCTCCATTGTTGCCATAAATTTTCTCCCGTTTTTTATTCAACAAGAGAATACTAATTTTGAAATGAAAGAAGCTTTTTTATCGATTCCATTTTAAGAAAAGAATAAACTTCAGTGGATTTATCTCAAATCCTCATTGTGGATAACTACGAATTTACCAGATGTGCAATTTGTACAGGGATTGTGCCACTGGACTTTCAAGACCCGCTTTGAAAAGATGGGAACTAATTCATTCCTCCGAACAATTTAAATCAGTAGTGAAGTGGTAAAATGTAATGACTTCCTAATTTTTTAAAAAATCATTCAGTTATCCCAAAGCCAAGTGATTTCATTGAAGAATGTTTCTCGATATTTTCTTCTGAAGACATCAATGAGATGATGTCATCATCATGACATCATCACGATGTTTTCATCATTGAGATGATTCAATTTCAAATAGGATGAAAAACTCATTATTCGAGTGTTGCATTATCAGAAGTTGAATTCGACATTCTTGTCTGCACCAAAGGAACAAGTGATCTAAAAAAATGTCTGCTTTTTTCTTAGATGAATTCCTAAAATACAGTCTTTTGACACTTTCCCTTGGGAAACCTTCATTATTGAGATAATTCAAGATTTAAAAAGATAAAAAATTCTATCGTTGAATACTAATAATAATAATAATTCAAAATCGATCTTTGTCTATTTTATTCATGTGAAAACCAAACGATTTTTCGAGAAAATATTCTTTTCGTAGCTGGATGGATTTCAAAAGAACTATCTCTTGCCATTTTTCCCTAATAATACCCATTAATGAGATGATTTGATATTCAACAAGATGTTGAGCTCTGTGAGAAACTACTCAATAAGTAAAATTTGACATTCTGATGTGCCCATTCATCGTCCGAGCAAGTGATTTTGCCAAAAAATATCAGACAAAAATATATTGATAGAAAAGATGGAACGACTTAGGTGCTGTTAGCGAGGGTTCTTGACTATCACAACGACTCGTTAGTGGCAACTAAATCTTGCTGTCAGTGTAAATTCAATTCTAAAGACAATCGTCATTAAGAAAAATCAAAGTTCAGTGGTTGAGTTCTCAACTGGCAGTAGTCAAATTCAAGAGGCTTCGCCCATTTTCTCCTAAAAGATCTCATTATCAAGATAATTCACTGTTTAACGAGATAAAAAACCCCTCATTAGAATACATAACAAGTAGAATCTGACATTCTTATTTGTCCAATCATCTCAAAAGCAAGTGATGTTGTGCAAAAATTTTCGCAATTTTTTTTGCAGATAAATAAATTTCTAGTTCTAGTCGTTTCTAAATAAAGGGGGCCGATCCTTTCTGTCAGAAGGCATGTGACCGTTACATGATGTGTTACTTGTCTTTCATTTTTGGTTTCTACCAATTCCATTGGTAGTAAGCTTCCGAATGGATCCGCAGAAATTTCATTTTTTAATTGAAAAGTGGCAATTTTTATTGAAAACGTTTCCACAAAATGTTTGACCTTTCAAAATTGAGAATTAACTTCCGGTTTTATCCATCGGGACAGGCATATCTACACGACCCCATTTTTACGGAATGTTTCCACGTGAAAATCAATGATAGAACAAAGATATGTCATTTTATGCGAAAAACCTTTTTATATCAATTGCTCTATTTCGAAAAGTATTGAATGGATCAATCTGAAATTTTACACAGGAGTGTAACTCGATGATACTAACTAGTCTTCACCATTTTTTAACTTTATCACATCCTTCACTCATGTAATGGAACGTCAAAGCAACTTTCAGACAAGAAAAATAGAAAAACGCCAATATCTCGTAAATTTTGTAGGAAAAGGTATATATTTTGAAAGAACTAGATAGGAGACATGACGACGAATATTTTGAAAAAAAACTTGAAATCGGATGAATAATTTTCGAGATATTGAACAATATAGTTTTATACAAAAAATTGAATATCTTTAAAACTACTCATTGGATTTCGCCCATCTGAAATCCCAGCCTGTAATATAGTATGCGCCAGAATTCTACCAAATTTCAACTTTCTATCTCAATTTTTTCAAGTGTTATCGTGTTCTCATCAATTTTATCACAAAAATGAAAAATGTCAATGACTGGGCGACTTGCAATAGTTAGCTAGGCATATTATGGTTTGATTCCATAGATATTATCATAAAGAATATTTTGACGCCAAAAAGTTCATTTGATGCAGTAGTTTTCCAGATATTGAGAAAAGAAAAATTTTTCGGAATCGCTGTATCTCAAAAACTGCTGGACCGATTGAGCTGAAAATTCGCCCAGATATGCTCCCAAACAAAACCAATTATGACTGGAAATTTCAGATTTTGATCTATCACTTTAGTCCTTTTTCTGTAAAAATTTACTTTAAAAATTCCACAATTCTGTACGCACATACGGACGTACACATTCTCTAAAAACATCATATCTCGACGGTTCGTGACATTTCAAGTCATTTCCAACTAAAATTAGAGAATCGTAAAATCAACCGATTACAAAACTTCCATTCGGAAGCAAAAATCTGATATCTTGATATCTTTCCTTAAATACTCTCATTTTTGAGATAATCCACCTCATTCTTTTACGTTTTGCTACTTCACCACCAAATCACCTCGTCCTCTTCCATTCATTCCTGCTCCACCATTCCCCCTAAACTCTAAGTTCACCCAACAAAGGGAAATTGTGGATACCCAACAGGCGGTGGGTAGTACCCTGGGAAAGCAGGTACAGTAGGTTGAACGGGAAGAGTAGTAGTGACATAAGTAGTGATCTCAGTAGGCACAACCTTCGTCGAGAAGAGCGTGGTATACGCCGTCTTGGCCCCGAAAGTCAGCTTGAGTACCCTAGAATCAGACACAGTGGCAAGTGTCTGTGTGACAAAGGGTGCACTGGTGACAGTGAACTGTGGCTGCTGCTGGAACAGCGGTACCTGCGGTATTTGCGGCACCTGGGGGGTAATTATTGGGGCTAAAGTTGACATACCAAACTCGTACGATGTGCGTGGTACTGTTGCAACTGGTCTGGAGAGTGTTGAGTACACAGTATTTCCATTGTTTACAAGGGGAATAACGTGGGACTCGTAAACAGTCTCCAGGACAATCACAGGGCGTGAGGTTGTGATCACCTGAGGTGCTGCTGGCTGTTGCTGGCCGAAGTACTTGAGGAGGGCGAGCTGTTGGGCCTGCTCTGGGGTCAGCTGGGGCTCTGGAGCAGACGTCGTTGGGGCGTCCTTTGGTTTTCCTGACGATCTGAAGACGTCTAGGTCGTCTGCCTCTGAGTTGGGGACGACTACCCTCTTGGGGATGTCTTCGTCATCCCTGTCGTCATCACCAAAGTCCAGCTCCAGGTGGAGTTCACTTCCAGCCTCGTCCAGTTTCGTGTTGAATTCATTCAGAGTCTTCGATGGAATGAATTGGTAGATCTCTGAAGGGGGCAGCGTCTTCGTCGCTGTCACCATCCTGGCGATGTTGTAGGTCTGCACCAGAGTGATTGTTGACGTGTTGCCAGCTGCCACTACTGGGAGGAGGTGGGTTTTCAACAGGGTTTGAGTCGTCGTGAAGGTCTCTGTGAGGGTCTCCAGGGGCGGCGTTGCCTGCCCTGACTCGAGGGTTATTGCTGGCAGGGTGGCCACTGACGAGTCCAGGGGCAATGATGACTCGTACGCTGCTCCAGTGTTCGCCAGGATGTTCTCGGTGAGGGGCTCGGTGGGGGTTGATGTCGTCGATGGCTCTGCTGTCGCGAATGTCTTCTTCATGGTTGATGTTACTGTTATGTAACGGGTGTTCTTCATTGTTCCCACCTGGAAAAAATGGCGAGTTGATCGAGTGGATGATATGGGAGTGATTTAGAGGAGAAATGGAGAGAAAGTGGGAAGGGATGAAGTATTACTTCCGGTTGTGGGGGGCAGACAAGTGGGAGCTTTCTACTGTGGATTAATCCACAGTTTTGGCTTTCAGAAATATTTTGGGATTTTTTATGTGGGGAATATTGAAATTTAGATTGAATTAAAATGTCGATTGTTGATCTTTGGATGGAAATTATGACCTGAGAATACTTCTGTGGACCGAATTTTTCCATCTCTAGGCACCACGCGAATTCATTAGAATTCCTAGCGAATTGGTTAGAGAATTCTATTGGATTTCTATTGAACTTTCTATTAGTTTTTGGCCGATTCTGTTGAAATATTCAATAGAAAAAGTCAGTAGAATTTGATTTTTCTATATAACTTACTCTCTTCAGATATTTATAGAACTTTTTCGGCTCGAATTTTTCAATTTTTTTTCATTCTATTTTTCTTTTCTTCTTTTCAAGAAAATCGAACAAGTAACTTAGAAAATTGAAGCCGAAGAAATTCTTAAAATCGAATTCTTTTGACTTTTTTTTATAGAATATTTTCTATTGAACATTTTAGTAGAATTGGCGAAACACTAGTTGAAAGTTCAATAGAAATCCAATAGAATTGTCCAGCGAATTCGCAAGGTTTTTTTATTAAACTTTTTCATCCGTGACATCTTCTCATATTTAGTGAATCGGCTTTCAGGCGTGTTAGATTCAACTGATCTTTACGAGAAGGGTAAAACTCCGGTATAATTCCGCAGAAAAAAATCATCTTCATTCAAATTGTTTTCACTTACATTGAGGTTTTAATTTTTTTTTGTTGGGATGACTAATATTTCGAATCTGGATTTTTTAGATAGTGTCTGCATCATTTTTTGGCGAGTTTTTTCTGCGCGGAATTTACCGAATTCATGAATTTTTCTAAATATAGTCTCCAGTGAGCGCGATCCACTGGCGCCAATTAAAATTAATCACTCAAAACATCATTATTGAAAAGGACTTAATCATTGCTAGAACAATTCAGTAGCGAACTGGTAAACCGGTTTAAGTGGACTTATCTCCCAGTTGAGTCTTTGAGGAATATTTCCGAATCTAAGGGAGATATTGAAATTTTCGTAATTACATTTGTTGTAGTTCTCAATCGGCTCTACAAAAAATGTTATAACAACAATTTTGCTATCTTCCTTAAATTCCGAGATATTCATTGAAAACTGGTCAATAGTCAAAATTGACTTGTACCGTTTTACCACTTCGCTACTGAATTGATGGGCTCCAGGGAAATTATCGGTCTGATAATTTCCCTGCAGCCGGGGAAATTATCAGTGTGAAACGTGTCACGTGACTCCGAATTCCACACTCTGATTGGTCAAAACCAGAATTGAGGAAATTGTATCTGTAGTAATGAAAAAGAGTGAGAAGGGAGGCATTTACCTGGAAAGCATAAGGCGATTTGATGGTTGCAATTTCAAAATAAACATCATTGAAGTCCGCTGGAGTGGATATCTCAACGTTGAGGGTCTCAACCGGAAGATTGGGCTCGGGTAGTGCTTGATCACTCTGGACACTCGTTGAAGACACCTCTTCCGTCTCACTGGGATCCAATTCATCGTCGTATGTGCCACCTTCCTGGATTTTCTTCTGTGCAGGGGGGGAAGACAATGAAGTTTTCTCCTCTGTTACAGTAGTGACTGTCGGCTCACTCGAGACAGGCTCGAGCGTTGAGACTCTCTCCTCATCGTCGGATTGCTTCCTGATGGCGATACGAGGCTTCGGAGTGGTCTTGTAGGACCACCGCCCCTGGGTCCGTGGCAGTTTGATTTTTGGAACTGGGCTCTGATTGGAATTCTGGTCGGCTTTGGGACGAAGGGGTTTTGGGGGAGAGACGAATTGCTGGGAGTTACTCGGACGGAATCCTGATCTGCGACGGGATACTGGGGCTTCTGTTGTTGTCGTTGTCAATGCTCTGTTTCTAAATTTGGAAGAGAACGTGGAATACTCGATTTATCTCGATATACTGTAAAAATCTAAATCGACTTCTAACGATAGAAAATTAAGGCCCGGATGGATTATCTTTCCAGCGTTTTCTCGATCGATTTTTCATTCCCTTAATCTGCTTTAATATATCACAATTTCCAATGGTTTTACATCACGCAGGAGCAGGGATAGCCATATCCATAAATTATTATTACTGTTGAATTATTAAGGTGTCAACTAGTTAATATTACTCTAATGTTTTAATTATTGAAGTAATCATCAATTTTCATATTCAGATAAATAGTAAAATTTGAATTTTTCATTAATCAGTAACTGATTTAGAAAGATTGACGATTGTTTGGATAATCGGAAATCCCTTCTAAGAAATTTAGCATTATCTACTTGATAGAAAATTTGTAGCTCCATATTTTTAAATATTTAATTCATCATCAATTGGAAATTTGGATTATCAATCATTTTACTATTTTTAAATTTCCATTAGTATATTTAAACCTCTCGATCAATGTAAGTCGGAAATGCTTTTAATATTGAAGAATTGGAAGATTGATGGCTATCCCTGCGCAGGAGTCCCCGAAAATTATGATTGTGTAATCACAAAAAGTATAAAAAACTGAACAGCTTCAAAGAGCGTTTTTATAAAGATTAGGAAATAATTCCGATAGAGAGGACATATGACGATGCGACAGCGATTAGATACAGCAAATTATTAATTTGCAATTTCTTCCCTATTGGGTTCATTTCCCAATATTATTCAACACACTCTCTGAAAATGTTGTTTGTTTCAACATTTTTTTATTGTACAATCATAATTTTTGGAGACTTCAGGGCTGTGTAAGACTGAATGAAATAAAACTGAATGAAATTGGAGAACATTTCATATTATTCAAATAAAAAAAAACCACCAAGATCACGTTTGAAAGATAATACAGGCGGACCTTAAGAGAAATATTAAGATTCGAAACTAAGAAAATAAGGGTAAAAATGACGCTGAGAAATAAGATCAAAAGAAAAACAAATGTCAGATAACGGTCGGAATAAGAGTCAGAAGTAAAAGTTAGAAACGGGAGTCAGGAATGAATTTTCGAAAAAATGAGGGCTAGAAATAAGTCTGTTTGGTTGAAGCTGTTTTTACCAGCCGTGGGGTGTTGGTGAGCGGAACGAAAATATTCAGTAGAAAAAGTCAATAGAATTCAAATTTTCTGTATAACTTATTCTATTGAGATATTTTCTATAGAATTTCCTCGGCTCAAATTTTCTAAGTTTTTTCGTTTGATTTTCTTGATGAGAAGAAAAGAAAAATAGAATGAAAAAAACTTAGAAAATTTGAGTCGAGCAAATTCGATAGAAAATATATATAAAGAATTAGTTATATAGAAAAATCGAATTCTGTTGACTTTTTCTATTGAATGTTTTCTGTTGAACATGTCAATAGAATCAGCCAAAAACTAATACAAAGTTTAATAGAAATTCAATAGAATTTTCTAACGAATTCGATAGGTTTTTCTATTAAATTTTTTTGTGCGTGATATGTGGGAGCCATCAAGTGGTCCTTCCACTAACTACTCTTGGCGGGCAACCAATGAGATCGAAGAGAATCTATCGATCTCATTGGTTGAGCTCCATCATTGGTTCCCTCCGAAGGATCTCATTGGTCACGTATGAAAAAAACGTATAAAAAGTTTCTGTACGGATTGCCTATAGAAATTTTATAGAATTTCCATATATGATATTCGGATATTTCTATACGAATTATTTCTATACATAAATTTTTAGATAAATTTTTGTTTTCATACGAAAGATATCTAAATGTTTCAAAGAAAAATGTAGAGAAATGTCGCAACTCCATACGAACTTTTTCTATACATGTAGCAGTGGGTCGTATAGGATCAAACCTATAGAAATCGTATAGAAATAATTTGTATAAAAACTATGCGTATAGAATCCTATAGAATCTTATAGGAATTCTGTACGCAATCCGTATAGAAAATTTCTATACCATTTTTTCGTACGTGGTTGAGCTCCATCATTGGTTCCCGCCGAGGGATCTCATTGATTGCCCCCCAAGAGTATAGTTAGTTTAGAGACCACTTGGTGGTTCCCACATCTACGTTGCGATCGCGAATAGGATTACTTATCGAAATTCGTATTGAGAATTTGGACGTTCATTTTAACGTTTTTTTCTATCCTGTAAAAATTTCTTCACCATAGAGGTCTTTGGAAATCCAGACTTTTCATAGGGAGCATTCTACGGAAGATTCTTCATGAGAGCATTTTATAAAAATTCTGGTCCTACATAAGACCAATTTATGTAACTTCCGCTACAGGAAATCCGGAGTCTTGTAAACCTGTCTGTGAAGTATCTGTAAGAAGACTTGGTCATTTCCGATAGGACGATCATATGTAAAATTCAAACATTTCTTGCAGGGATTCTATTAACAAAAATGATCTACGGAAATTTACAGGAAGGATTCATCACAGGAGAGTATTTTATAGAAATGCTAGGCCTAAATGGAGAAGAATCCAGATAACGTTTCTTTACAGAATTTTTACTATAGAAAATTCGAATAAATTGACGGAAATTTTCGAATTGTCACTAGAAAAATGACAATAGAAAGGTCAATTCAATCAATGTTATCATTATTCCTCCTTCATTACTTCATCTACCGAATTGAATCGATGAAATACTTCGTTTTTTTTTCTTTAGAACAATTTTTCTGTAACGGTTGATATTATTTTTACTTACTTGTAATTCGGCCTAGGTGTTGTGGCTCGATTCTTCCCCTGATTCCTCGGCTGTTGTGGAGCCTCATAATTCTCAAGATCGTCGTAGATTTTATTCCTGAATTTCGGACGTGCGTGGGGAGCTGAGTGCCTCCTCGTCGTTTTAGGACCTGGTCCTGATGGGCATGATCATCATTTTTATTTTCTAGTACAATGATCGACTTCAAAAAAGATTATTTGCAAATATTTTCGAAACGAGAAAACGTTCTGTGAATAATTCCTCTAGACGTTTCCCTTTCAAAGATATTTTTACTCGACTACAGATTCTGAATCTGAAGATTTTCTCCATCGAAATCATTAAAGGTGTTTATCCATTCTCCGAAAATAGGAAGTGTATCTGTTCCAGGCCAATGTTTTACTGTTTTAAAATTATGGGGGAACATATGAAACCACCGTTTCCGAAAATTAGGAAAAATTATTTGCAGTTGCTTTGACGAAATAAAATGAATGATTTTTTTATACGCGGGCTTTTAAGCTCTGACAATTGTGAGATTTACTTTTGAATTCAGTAGCGAAGCGGTAAAACGGTTTAAGTCGATTTAGACTATTGATCTGTTTTGAATACATATATCTGAATCTAAGGCAAATAGCAAAATTTTTATCATAACATTTTTGTAGAGCGAATGAAGAGCTATGAAAACAGTTGTTACGAAAATTTCACTATCTTCCTTAGATTCGGAGATATTCTTCGAAAACTCAGCAAAAAACAAAGTCGACAGGAACGTTTTACCGCTTCACTACTGAATTGATAATTCGCCTACTGGAAGAATTCAAAAATAAAAATAGATGTTAATGTGGTAAAAATATACTGAATTCAATGCCAAGGAAAAATTTGGGATAACCAGGAAAATGAAGCAGATATTTACAACTTTAAGCCCATACAACGTCATACTAACGCCTAGATTCGGTCAACATTATCTATTTTATCTCCGGACTAGGGGGCTCCGCCCCCTGCTCGCTCCACTCGTCAACCCCCATGATCCTTATTCTGACCCTTATGACCCTTAATCTGACCCTCATGATCCTTCATTTCTGACCATTAATTTTGGAGTTTTTATTTCGAATACCAAATTTTCATCACCAGAAGTCGATTTGGATTGTTATAACATAGAGAGATATAGAGAGCCCCTTTTTTTAACCCTTATGACCCTTAGTTTCAGATCCCCATGACCCCTATTTGGACCGTTAATCTGACGTTCGCGACCCTTAATTTGACCCTTATCCCCCTTATTTGGATCTTTGATCTGACCCTCATTATGATCCTCGTAACCGTTATTTTGATCCTGGTAATCCTTAGTTTCTGATCCTTGGTTTTTGATCCCCGTGACCCTTAATATGATCCTTACGACCCTTCTTTAGACCCTTAATCTGACCCTTGTTACCCTTGTTTGGACCTTTAATCTGACCCATTTGACCCTTAATCTGACCCTTGTAACTCTAATTTGAACTCTTATTCTGACCTTCGCGAGGCATATTCTCACCCTCGTGACCCTTGTTCTGACCTTCGCGACCTTTATTGACCCTCACGACCTTTATTCTGACCCTCATGACCCTTATTTTGTCCCTCATGACCCTTAATTTGATCCTTATGGTCCTTAATTTTTGAGTCTTAATTTCGAGTACCAAATTTTCATCACCAAAAGTCGATTCGGATTTTTATAATATAGAGAGATAATTAAATCCGGTCCGTGAATTGGAATTTTTGTCAACTCGAAGGAGATAAATCTGGCTATCAGTTGCACAAAAATGACATTTTTTTAGTGCTTGCGGTTTTGAATAAATATCCTTAATAGAAAATCTGTCAGATTCATTTCTCTTGACAATTATATACCAGATGAAGCACTGAAGAGACCTTCAAGCGGGAGAGAAGATTCCTCCTGTTGGTGGGCTGGAGTTGGCTCCAATTGTGGCTTCAATTTTCCATGCTGTGGTCCAATGGTCTTCAGGATCCTCTGGGAGTTGGTGGGTCGAATTTTGCCCTCTGGAATCACTGGGGTTCCACCCCCTTTGAGGATTCTCGACGTACTCTGGAGAACTTGGGCGTATTTTCCATTGATATAGGTACCAAGAACAGACGTCTCGTGGACTGTTGTGAGTCCATCTTTGACGATTGTTCCACCCAGTCGTGTGACCAGTCCCGTTGGATTTTCTTTCTCCTTTTTAGGTGACGGTCGAGGCTTGGGGGGAGCTTTCGATGAGGGCCTCAAGTTTATTAACTGAGAATTACGGTTTAAACATAAATTATTGAATTGACTGTTTTGTACTTTCTTCATCGCAGAGTGAATTCAAAAAAATAATTGAGGCATTTTATGGTTTTTCTTTTTCAATTTTTGAATTTATCATTTGAATTAATTTTGATGTTGTCATTCAATAGATACATTCACTAGAAAATTTTAGGGAATTCGCAAGTAGAGTCCTTTGGAATTCTATTAAAAATGCTATTGAATTTTCTTAAAAATTTATTCTGTTGAGATTTTATCGCTATAAATATCTCTCTATAAATTCCTATTTTTTAATAAAGCACAACCAAATAATTTGTATTGTAAAATCAAAATCTATTAAATTTTCTCTATCTATTAAAAAAAAAACATGCGGAATTTTCAGTCGAAATTGGCGTTGAAGAGAATTTCCAAGCGAATGAACTCGGATAGCTTTGCAAGAAAAATCGATAAACTTTGAATTTTCTTAAGAATTCATTCTATCGAAATTTTATCGCTATAAATACTTCTCTATAAATTAGGATTTTTTTAATAAAGCACAACAAATTAATTTGTATTGTAAACTCAAAATCTATTGAATTTTCTTCGACTGAAATTCGTTTTGTTGAATGTCTCCGAGATAAAAAGAACATGCGGAATTTTCAGTCGAAATTGGCATTGAAGAGAATTTTCAAGCGAATGAACTCGAATAGCTTTGCAAGAAAAATCGATAAACTTTGAATTTTCTTAAAAATTTATTCTGTCGCAATTTTATTGCTATAAATACCTCTATAAATTAGTATTTTTTTAATAAAGCACCACCAATTAATTTGTATTGTAAACTCAAAATCTATTGAATTTTCTTCGACTGAAATTCGTCTTGTTGAATGTCTCCGGGATAAAAAGAACATGCGGAATTTTCAGTCGAAATTAGCATTGAAGAAAATTTCGAAGCGAATGAACAACGATTTCCTATTCAATTTTTTCACTCATTTAATTTCTTTTTATTCCTAGGTTCAAACATCATCTTACAATTACGTGATATGAATATTGATTGCCCTACACAGAAAAAAAAACAGTTACCCGGTATTTTTTTGCCTTTCCACATACCTTGTAAGTCTCGTCGACGACTTCAGTCGGTTGTTTAGACAGGTAATCGTATTCTGGTTCAGCGAGATTATTCTTCACTGGTTTATCACCATCGGAGACTACCTGAACGACAGTTGATAGTACTGGGCCTTTGGAATTTTCGGTGGAAGGCGTTGGAGACTGTAATGTCAGGGAGTTTTCCCATGAGAAAAATGAGATGTTAACGCTGTTATGAGGAACAATACACTGAGCGAAATATCGACATAATGTCATAAAACTAATTTTTTGCATCAAATATCTGATCTCTTAAGGATAAAACGCTTGGGGTAGGGGTGGGTCGGGTAAAATGGAATGTATTGAGATTTTTTCCAAATGCCAATATCTTCATTTATAAGTGAAAATATTGGAAATTACAATGTTAAAAAATTACACCTGAAATTTCAAGTGAAAACGCTTGAAATTTTTAATAACGACAAAGTTACATGAAATTTCTGTAGAATTCTTCATTGGCAAATCAGTTACACGTATGAAAAAATCGTATAGAAATTTTCTATTACGGATTGCGTATAGAATTTCTATAGGATTCTCGTATATGGTATTCAGATATTTCTATACGGATATTTTTTATACAAATTATTTCTATACGATTTCTATAGGTTTGATCCTATACGACCCACTGCCACATGTATAGAAACATTTCGTATGGAGTTGCGACATTTCTCCACGTTTTTCTCTGAAGTGTTTAGACATCTTTCGTATGAAAACAAAAATTTATATAAAAATTTATGTGTAGAAATAATTCGTATAGAAATATCCGTACGAAATATTCGTATAGGAAATCCTATAGAATTTCTATACGCAATCCGTATAGAAAATTTCTATACGATTTTTTCATACTTGTAATTTCTTGAATATTTAAGTAATTATCGATTTTCAGGTGCATATGGCACAGAAAAACTTTGAAAATGTTGAAAATTGAGGCAATAACTTCTCTGAATTTTCAGTCTATTGCAAAGTGAATGGTATGTGATGTTCAGTTTTCACAATGAGTTTGAAAATTCAAGCTTTCATTGAAAAATCAATGATCGTTCAACATGAAAAATCCAATTTTCTTGAATTTTCAAGACGAATGAGAAATTTAGTGAACGTTTTCAACTGAAATTGAATTGAAACGCACAACATTGATAATTCAGATGACATTGTGACCGAAATTTCAAGAAATTTCTAACAGTGTAGAGAAGATCACGAAACGTCCCATTTTGTCCGACTCCCCCCCTAGGAATTTAGCATAATGAATCAGAGCGTGTAGGGATCCTGTGAAGTATTCATGACCTGAACACGAACACTTGGCGATAAAGTGACAATTTCTTGCCTCAAGAAATCGTTTATTTCGTATTCAAAGATGATAAAATTACTAAAAATATTAAAAGCTTGATTCAGTGAATCATGGACCAGAGACTTTCATATTGAATGAATACAAAATTTATAGAGGGGAAAACCTTCAGATATTTCTAAAATATAACCGTCACTTGCTCTCAATCGCAATGAGTTTGAAGGAAAGCAATAACATCTTTTCCTTCTCTCGAACTTACTTTATCTCTTCAGGAATATTATCTAATTTCCAGAAAACAATATCTTTTTTTCATTCAGTATCATCCTTCTTTTGGCCGAAGAACACCGATTTCTTGACTGAAATCTACCATGAATTGATCGCATTTGCATGCGATGTTCTCCACTCAACACGAAGAGAAATGTTCAGTAAAAATTACGGAACTCACAATTCGCTCACCGATTACAGAATCGACTCAGAAAATTTGAGTGACGGTATCGTAATTTTTCATAGGTGATTCAGATAAAAATTACGGAACGTTCTGGAAAAATTCCGTGACAGTTCCGTAAAATTTCCTACAACTCGCACGGAAAACAAATATATGAGACAAATATATCAATTACATGCACATATATGTGCACGTATATATTCAACATATATTTTATACACAGCATTTTTTCTCAAAAATAAATTAAAAATATATGAAACATATATCCCATAAATAATTGTGCGCATATATATTTTTTCCGTGAGGGAGCCACATTTCCCTCCGGAATTACGGAAAAGATACGTAATTTTTATTGAATATTTCTCTCCGTGAAGAAATTACTTTTGTCATATTATGTCGATTTTTCTCAGTGTATGCAGTCAAATCACCTAGATCGTAACTTCCCGACTTTACGTCGATAATTGAACATTAGAATGAGAAATGCTGAGAGAATTGTTATGAGAAACTTATGTAAACCGATTCTCTCGATGGGAAATCATCGATGGGAATCTCTTAGGTGATTAGCAATGAAGTGTGCAATCAAATCAGTTGATTCATGTAGGAAGTCTATTCAGTGATTGATTGTAGATTGTGATCGTGAGAACGAAAAAAATGTACATTCTACTTGATGAAATGCAGATGCTGTTTTATTCTTATTCAAGCAAATGGAGAAAATTGTAAAACTAAGAATAAAGATGAGTACCTCGGTGTTTTTCTGGTCTTTGTTGACGACTGAACTCACGATGACTTTCGTGTTTTTCAATGGCTTTTTCGTCTCACCCTGATTGTCACTCTTGTGGGTTTTGCTCGGTTGAATGTCGATGCTTTTCTTTGGAGCCGCTGGCTTCGTTTCAATCACAGGGGAACTTCTCGGTTTTTCCCCTTCTTTATTCAGAATAAAGAGCTTTTATGTATTTTTTAAATATTGAGAATTTATGTCAAGGATACACACAAGGAAAGCGGAAACATACGAATGGGCTAGACAATTCTATTCCATTTTTATTGAACTGCTATTAGATTTTTGCGGATTCTATTGATAAATTAAGATTAACTTAACTTTTAACGTTTCTAAAGAAGCAAAATTTTTGTTATAATCTTTTTTGTAGAGTCGATTAAGAGCTACAACAAATGTAATTACGAAAATTTCGTTATTTGGCTTAGATTCGGAAATATTCTTCAAAAACTCAACTGGGAGATAAGTTGACTTAAACCGTTTGACCAGTTCGCCACTGAAATATTTTAAGCTATGATTGAATTCATTTGAAGCATGATATCCAAAGATATCCCGGGAGTTCTGAGTTTCAAAAAATACAGAATTTTTGAAAATTTTCAAACAAATCAAAATAATGATTATTGCTGTCGCCTTCATCTTCGAACTCGGTCAAACGGACATCCAAAACATTTTTTTAAGCCATGATTCAATCAATTCAGAACTATTTTTTAGTTATCGTGAAAAAAATGATTTTTGAAAAATTATAAAAATTTAAAAAATGAATAAATTAATTAAATTTTAATTAATGCCGCTTAATAGGGTTCAATAATATCTCCATGTGAGAAAAAAAGAGATTCAATTCCATCGATTCATTAGCGAACAATCGAAGAAAAATTTGTTTACGTACGTACGCACATACATACGTACGAACACGGTCTAAAAATGAAGTATTTTGCATTTTCGAACTTTTTGGGTCATAATGAGTCGATGTAACATGAAAAATCCAAAACTTAAATTTGAACGATTACAGTGTTTCCATTCAAAAGCAAAAAAAAAGAGTCAATGTTGAATGGAAATCGGCAAAAAGCTGATTAAATTTCTTAGAAAGACCAGAGCCAGGGTTTTTAATTGAATTTTGTTAAATTTTGACTTGAAAAACATTTATAAACAGGATTCCAATGTAATTGTTCATTGATAGGAATTCAGTCGATGATTGTTGTACAAAATGACGTTTTTGAAAAATGACTAATAAGAAAAAAATCCACAGACGTGAATCAAAAACGCACGGAAGAGCTGCGGCATTTTCCTCAGAAATTGACAACAAAGACTAGCGGAATTTTCGATGGAATGCGTTAAAATTTTTTCATCAATTCTTCCATACGTAACATTTCGAAAATCCTAAAAATGTCATTCTCGAAAACCCATTTCATTCGACGAACTGTATCACTCGGATATCCTCAAACCTTGAGAACGGTCAAAGGTGAAGGAGAACAAAATGATTGAGCAGTTTTCATTTGATTCATCATGTCGGAAGATTTCGTGGTATTATGCAATAATTTTAGGTAATAGACATTTCTCCCTAGGGATTCTCAATGTCATTGAAACGTAACACATTCTCGTCGGATTAACCGATGTAAATCCGACATGACAATGGAATTTACGACATCGAGGGTCGAGGATAGAATCATTTTCATTAAGTAATAAAAAATCAGTGGGTGGTAAAAGGATTCGTTACTGCCTAGGCATCGAACAAAGGCGTCAAGTGAACGATAACGGGTTGCCAAAGGTGTCAGGGTTTCTCGGTCTGGCAATCACCGTCGAGAATGACTGATGAACTATCGAAGGAGAAAATTCAAACAAAAAAAAGATAACGGTGACTTTTTCCGATTTATTTTGATGAGATGCACGGTGAGTTTCGAGAATGTATGAGCGTTGAGGTTGAGTTGAAAATTTTAATTGAAGAATGTCTTGAATATAATGTTACCTACAATTTTATAGCACAACCTATACAACACTCCTATTTGTTGTATCATAAAACCATATTTAAATTTACTGGTAACAATTTTTTAAATAATGAATTATGACATAATAATAATTCGACAAAATGTTTAGTCTCCAATTCTCAATTTCTGTCATTTATTCTATTCATTCTATCAAAAGCGAGGGGCTAGTCACAGGCGAATTGGGTGACACCACGATTACAAAATGTAATCGATTACCCAGGATTATGGGACTGATTACGCTGATTACCAATGATTACGCTTTTGCCTATGTGATAACCATGATTACCAAGAGCACAGAATGTGATTACATGATTACAAATGAGTTCGTCGTTTACATTCTGTGATTACCAAACATCTGTAATCATTGAAATCATTAAAAATGGCCTCTTATTGAATATGAATTGATGGAATAATTAATTATTAGAACCTGTAAAGAAATGAGGAAAGAGGGGCGGGGATTAGAACAGAGGAATGCAGCCTCCATCACTCCATCTAAAAATTTGGGCATTTATAAGTGCTATGCCATTGATGGAGAATGAAACTTACCAACAGATAATTCAGAGATAATTCAGTCGTTGGTTCTCCAGAATAAAAAGAAATTTCAACTCTGTTGAATCAATTTTCTACGGACAAATGCTCTGTGCATAACACATTGGCTGTGCAAGGTTCTGAACCATAAACATCCGGGATTCCCAGAAAAATTGATCCAGGGATCTCTGAATCTTACCGTTGGTAGAAATGACGCGCTCGAAAATTCAAAATCAAAATTCACGCTTTCTCGATCAAAAGACAAGGCTGGAAATCGAATTTATGAGAATTCTTTGTTATTAAAAAAAAATCGATTTTTAAACTTTTCGGAGACATTGAAAATTAATCTTTTTTAGTTCTTCCCGCCCACTTTCCTTGCATTTTTCTGAATTTCTTCTGGCAGAAATACTGATATCCCTCTAATACTTGAAGAAAAAAAGTGATTCGAAGTTTCTGCCAACATAAAAGAAGAAAAAAATCCATATTCTAGTCGATTATCCCTTACTACTTCTTTTTTCATTTCTTTTTTATAATAATTGGAATCCGACCATAGGAATGAAGAGTAGCGATATCCTTTCACCATATGAACGAAAACAGATTTTAAAAACTTTCAGGAATACATGGAGAAATTTTTCTATTATCCGAATGAGGTTTCGAATAACATTTGTTTTGTGTATTTGTTTTGATCATAAAAAACACTTTTTATTGATCTTTAACATAATTCCTCTTCATTCAATGTTGTGACATGTGAATTGAGGAAAAAAAAATGTATATATGTATGTATAATAAGTTAGAATGGATAAAATTAAATTAATCTAATTGTAAATACGGAAACGGAAAGAAAATAAAATAAAATAGAATAGCATAAACTAATCTACCCCGCTAGTTTATAAAAAGTTTCATAAAATTTCTGACACTAACTGTATCCATCAAACTTGAAGAAATGATGATTCGCAAAATTTCTAACTTTTTTCGTCTGTTCTGTGGTAAAATCCGCTCCCTTTAATAAAAAATTCGACTTAAATTTTTAATTTCCTACAAAAGTGCTTCGCTTTATTTTTTCCTATAATTCCCCGACATCAATTTTCTAAATGTAGGGGAGGATGGGGCAAAACGGTCCCCCTTCAATCGTTAATATTTTCCGATTCAATAATCCGATTGGGATGAGTTAGAGCTCGTTTTGAAGAATGAAAAATTATCTTCAAAATGAAGTTGAAACTGGGAATTTTCACAATGTCATTCACAAGTTATTGACAATTGAAGGGGGGCCGTTTTGCCCCACCCTCCCCTATCATTTTTCATCCATTTGTAACAAGGCAAGATTTTTCTATTGAAAAAAAAATACCTGGAGATCCTACGAGATTTTCAGTAGTAATACCACGAGACCTCGAAAATTATCGAATATTTCCCGATTGTTTTGTTGCGTAGCAACGAGAAGGAGAAGTGTTGCAGATTAAAATCCTAAGCGCGCAGCGCGAGGGATTTTTGTGCAAAACTTATCCCGATCGTTGATACACAGGAAAACATAAGGGAAATGTTCGATTAATTTTGGAGGTCGAGTGGTATTCGACGGATTATTTTTGGTAATCGGATCTGACTTTTTTCATGACTTTCTTTCACTCCACAGGATAATATTTGACACTTACTTAGTTAGAGAAACAATTGCAGAGCTAGAGGGAAATTATCAAAAGCTACAGGGAAATTATCAAAAGCTAGGGAGAAATAACCACAAGTAATACCACGAGAGCTTCAAAATTATCGAGCAATTCCCGATAGGTTCGTTTGTGTGCAGGGAACCTTGAGGGAATTACTCAATTAATTTTGAAGCTCGAGTAGTATTCGGGAGGGAATTTTCCCATCCAAATATCGGCCAAAAGAATTGCACTATGTGACAAAATCCATCTGACAGTTCCAACTCGAGGTTCACTCGACCACGGAATCTTTTTTTTTCCACAAATATAGTCAACATGAAAAATTACCAGTTGAATTATCAAAAAATATCAGCTGAATACCGTGTTGACTATATGAAATAACAGTCGAATAGTGCAATTCTATTGGCTGACATTTGGATGAGGAAAATTCCCGCTGTAATTTTAATTGAGAAGTACTTCATGTTATTGAATACTGAACTCCGATTGGTCCAGGGGAGGCCAGATCCGATTACCAAAAATAATCACTTGTAATACCACAAGAGCTTCAAAATTATCGGGTATTTTTCGATAGGTTCGTTGCAAACAAACGAAGAACTCGTGCTTCGCACTCGTGATTTTTCCTGCNTGGAGGTCGAGTGGTATTCGACGGATTATTTTTGGTAATCGGATCTGACTTTTTTCATGACTTTCTTTCACTCCACAGGATAATATTTGACACTTACTTAGTTAGAGAAACAATTGCAGAGCTAGAGGGAAATTATCAAAAGCTACAGGGAAATTATCAAAAGCTAGGGAGAAATAACCACAAGTAATACCACGAGAGCTTCAAAATTATCGAGCAATTCCCGATAGGTTCGTTTGTGTGCAGGGAACCTTGAGGGAATTACTCAATTAATTTTGAAGCTCGAGTAGTATTCGGGAGGGAATTTTCCCATCCAAATATCGGCCAAAAGAATTGCACTATGTGACAAAATCCATCTGACAGTTCCAACTCGAGGTTCACTCGACCACGGAGTCTTTTTTTTTCCACAAATATAGTCAACATGAAAAATTACCAGTTGAATTATCAAAAAATATCAGCTGAATACCGTGTTGACTATATGAAATAACAGTCGAATAGTGCAATTCTATTGGCTGACATTTGGATGAGGAAAATTCCCGCTGTAATTTTAATTGAGAAGTACTTCATGTTATTGAATACTGAACTCCGATTGGTCCAGGGGAGGCCAGATCCGATTACCAAAAATAATCACTTGTAATACCACAAGAGCTTCAAAATTATCGGGTATTTTTCGATAGGTTCGTTGCAAACAAACGAAGAACTCGTGCTTCGCACTCGTGATTTTTCCTGCAAAACTTGACGATTTCGTTTGTATGCAGGGAACCTTGAGGAAAATGCCCGATTAATTTTGAAGCTCGTGTGGTATTCGGGGAATTATTTTTCAATCCAAATGTCGGGCAATATAATTGGACCATGAGACGAAACTCACAATTGAGAAACGAAAATTGTATAATTAACATAACGACACAATTGAATTCAATCTGTCAGTTTGACGAAGGGTTAATTCGACTGCATGATGTTTTGTTTTTTATATAGCAACTAACAGAGAAAATTATCAAAAAATTATCAGTTGAAAACCCTGTAGCTTGTACCACGTGATGTCGAATGGGCCAATTATATTGCCCGATATTTGGGTTGGAAAAATAATCACTAGAAATCTTTGAAAAACTGAAATAATATCCAATAGATTTGCGACAGAATTGCCTAGCAAATGAGTAAATGCAGTGGGGGTTTCTGTTGAATTTTTAAAATGTGGGATTCCAAATGTGGGAACATTGTTTCCGTAATCCACCTGTGATTATACAGCTTTCGATGCAAATATCCTAATCCCATATTTCTGAAAGGATTTCTTCACCATTTTCGCGGCAATATTCATAAATCTTCAAGTAATTCCATGGAAATTTATGACGTGGTTTCTTACCTGCTGGTGCACTCTGGGGACTGAAGACCATCACGGTGTTGCCGATGGTCGTCGTAAAATCGAGAAAACCGTAGACAGTCTGAGTGATGAAGTCACTCTTGTTTGCCTCCGGTTCGGCGGATTCTACTACTTCCACTGCATTGTTGTTGTCAATACCACCGGTTGCTTTGTACACCTGGCCAAGATTCACTGACACTGAAACCCCAATTTTCAACCATTCTCCAAGTTATTGATTGCTGATTAATTCAATATTAAGGTAGTTCTAGGACTGCGATAAATTTAAAGACTATTAAAAACTGCAATGAGTTTTAGGAAAGCTCGACTAGTTTAATCTAAGTTAGGACTCCTTTTTTTTCATCACTTTGCACACATTGTAACGAAATAGCTATTTTCGTCACTAGGCCGAAAACAACTTTTATGCCTCTAGGGAAATCGATTTAACTCTCGCTTCGCTCGGTTGAATCGCGGTTTTCAGTCCTCGAGGCATAAAATATCGTGTGCCACACGCCAGTAAAAGTATTTTCTGACGAATGTGACGTTATAACCCGAGCCGAAGGCGAGGGTTATAATCACATTCGTCAGAAAATACTTTTACTCCCTAGGGGCACAATATACTATTTCCGTACTGACTCACTGTTCCTCGTCCGGGGACTGGTATCGGCCCTTCTCCAAACTCGTAAACGTGAAAATCACTGGAAAAATATCGTTCACGACTAGTGTCATGGAGTGTTTTTACTCGCGTGGTTGGCCAGTCCTCGCGTTCGGCTCGGACTGGCCAACTCCACACGAGTACAACACACCATGGCGCTCGTTCTGAAATATACTATTTCTGACTAGTGTGAGGGGTTGTGAGGGTTAAGACCGAGGCGAAGCATCAAGTCTTGAGTTCTTCAAGGAATGCAATCATACGAGTAAAAAAAGTTGTTTTCGACCGAGTGACGTACATAATTCTGTTGTGAAGTGGTAGGATAAGTGCAAAAATGGAACTTTTTCAAGAAAGTTAAAAAAATTTAACCACGTTTGAGAAATTTCGATTCAAGCAGTAAAAAATGTTTTCGTGTCACGGAACCTGAAACAACACAAAAATTAATATACACACCTCGCCATGGAAAACATATCACCCTCCTCCACGTGCTTGCTATCCTTGCCTTCGGCTCGAAAGGCAATCTTGCACGTGGGGGACGGTGATCTGTTTTCCAAGACTCGGGCATGTAATGTACTATTTCACACAGCTGCACGGAAAGTTCTTACTTTGCTCCTTGATGAGCGGGAGGAAAGTGAGTACTTTCCACCCTAGGGTGGAAAGTTGCTCCCAAGGGCGGAAAGTCAAGACTACAAAATACGAACTTTCCTTCGCAGGCGTACTAAAAAATAGCATGTGCACCTCGGGTGGGAAAACATGACTTTCCGCCTTTGATGCGCAATATACTATTTCCAAAAAATTGCACTTATTCTAATTTACCACTTCACTACAGAATCTTTCTTCACAATGTCTGTAAACGACGTTTGACGAAGTCCCCGTCAATCATCGTTTTACGGACAGTGTGATGAAAACAGTTTCACGCACTCGTATTGAAATACACTATTCTCAATTTAATCATTATTATAATTTTTTTAAAGGACAAATATTGAAAAATGAGCAGTTAACCCAGTCTCTTGTGTGAAAATCAATATTTCCATTATGGTTAAAGACTAAAATCTTTTTTTAAACTAAATCTGGAACAATCGAAATTTTTATACCTCTTACAAAATGATCAACCGATCTATCAACAAGTTTTATTACTTATTTATGAAAATAGAATGTTCAACCGATATTAATATCTTATATAAGGGAATATGGGGATATTAATTAGGAATTCATATTTTCACATTTTCCTCCCAAAAATCAGTCCAAAAATTGAAAAACTGAAAATATCCAAGTTTATAGCAAGTCGCCAAAGTTAGTAGGAGAAAATTGTCGAGATTTTTCTAAAATAGTCTTGAATTTTCTATAAAATTCGAAGAAAGACGAGGGTCTTGCATTCTGTAGCAATCAACGTAGAAACTACTGAAAAATTCCAAAACTTTCTGGAAAATTTTTAAACCTTCCGGAGGAATCTAGAAATTTAGTGAATTTTGGAAAGATACAAGGGTAAACAGGTCAATCTATGGACGGGGATTATTTCGTGGGTCATTTCTACTCCCATTGAATATTTCATAAATAATAGAATGAAAATTGTTCTGATTATTCAATCTGATTGTTCTGATTGTTCTGATTGTTCTGGTTTTTCAGTTTTCAATAATATTACTCGTGTATAATCATGTGATCAATTATTTTTTCTATTGATCGCCATTTAATAAATAAAAAAATACTTCCCAGTCGTCCAGAAATTAGGGGTTTCGGCTGCATTCAACTATTTCTCAATTCAGTTATTCTTCGTTTTGTTATTTTCACTTCAAATAATTTTGTGCTGCTAATTAAAACATTCTTGAAGCCATCATATTCCCATTTAGGTGATTTTCTTATTTTAGATCCTACCACGAAACTCAAATTCCCCTTAACCGTCTAGCAATTGGCCTGTTCACCCAATAAAAGGTTTTCTACATTGGAGAAAATTCGAAATTTTTCCAAAAAACTTGATGAAATACAGCGTTTTCCTACAGAATAAAGACCATAGTAGACGTATCCACGCAAAATGACGGTTGTGTCAAAGATATAGCCGCCTGCAGATTTTTTTCTATGTTAGCTATCCGCGCATCCTTGATTTATTCTTTCTGCCAGTCCTGCATAATATCTAAAAATTTGAAATGAGCAGTAAATGAACAAAATAATTTGTTCACTTTCTAATACGCCCTATCCTACATCAAATAATCAAAGACCTTGCAATTTCATGAGGGATTTGGGAATTGGGAAGAGGACAAGGGTATTCCATAACAGAAAAAATTCAGGAAATTAGTATATTGTGCACCAAGGACGGAAAGTCATGTTTTTCCCACCCGAGGTGCCATGCTATTTTTTTAACACGCCTGCAACGAAAAGTTTGTATTTTGCTTTCTGATGAGCGGGAGGAAAGTACGAACTTCCCGTGTAGAGGTATGAAAAATAGTATATTGTGCATCAAGCGCGGAAAGTCAAGACTTTCCGTCCGAGATGCACATGCGATTTTTTAACACGTCTGCAAAGAATGAACTTTCCTCCCGCTCATCAAAGAGAAAAATACGAATTTTCCTTTGCAGGCGTGTTGAAAAATCGCATGTGCACCTCGGGCGAAAAGGTTTGACTTTCCGCCCTTGGTGCACAATATACTATTCCGTACTGATCTTCACTTTTTCTCGTCCGGGGATTGGTATTGGCTCTTCTCCAAACTCGTAAAAGTGAAAATCACTACGGAAAAACATCGTTCACGACTAGTGCCACGCGAGTAAAAAACCCCATGGCACTCGTCCTGAAATATACTATTACTTGTAGAGCATATGTCGCAATTCGCTCCCTCCACAAAAAAACTCGTGTAATTTCCTCTAAACTCACGAACTTCCGCGATATTTACAAAATACTAAAGATGAAAGAAACGTGAAGTTTTTTTATATCGAAATATCTCGAAACTCCCTGACCGTTAATCCTCAATTCTGGTTGGTCAATGAGTCACGTGAAGTAGGCGCTGAAAAAAATCCCCGGTATTTTCAAATTCTTCAAATGCCAAAAATTTGTTCTGCGTCATATTTTTCATTTTTTCGTGCGTGAAGTTGATCTTTATATCAAAACATATCTAAATTGCCTAATTGTTGATCATGAGAAAAAAAAACATAGTATTTATAAATTTTTTTAACTCACAAATTATTCTTCACTTCCCAAATTTCAATTTTCTCATATTTATCACACGCCAAAATGATCAATTTTTGCTTCTCAGATTTTCATACATAAATTCTAAACTCTACAAAATTCACGAAAATTCTTCGGTTTCCCAAATAATTAGAGAAAAATCTGTGATCTACGGTTATCTGGAAAACTGTGAAATTTTCCGAAGAATTCAAGAAGTTTTTTCAGTTTTCTAGGAAATCAATTCATAACCCTCCCCTGATTTTTCAACAATTACAGATTTTAATCAGATTATTTTAAAAAGTAAAAAAAAAAGAATTAATCAAAGATTAAAAATTATTCATTGATGCTTCACTCTTCATTCTCTTCATTCTCTTAATTCTCTTTAAGTCATTATCTATATTTATAAAACATCTATGAGTATATGAAGTTTAATAAATTCGATTTCTTCATTTTCACAACAAAAAGGTAAGCGCGCGCGAAAGCGCGCGCACAGATCTAGTATTTACAAAATAATCGACTCAAAATTTTTAGTTCTCTCAAATAATTCAAGAAAATTAAGAAAGGCCTCAGCAAAATTCTTTCACAATTCACCCCTCTATTTTTCCTCAAAACAATCTTTGTGCACCTAAAATGGAACTACATAAAATTGGATCACAGTAATAATTCACGTAGCGAACCACTCGTCTTGAATTTACCAGGAAAAGAGAGCGATAGAAAAAATAGTGCGACGAGGAGAATGGGCTAGTCGTTATAATGCCCTAAGCGAACAAGAAGGTTCACTACAACCGGTGCCTCGGGTGCACAGACCCGCGTCTCTAGACATTCCTTTAACGAGCTCTCGTTCGCAGCACGATGAAGCATAATTACCCCTTTTTTTTACTTTATTCTAAAACTGTCTGATGAGAAAATGAGTCGGGATCATTAAAATTCATTCCATTTATGACCTTTTCATTTAAACAATTAAATTATTCTCATTACAGTATTTACATGATTCATACAATCAGTGATAGAGACGCAATTGCGTGTGGAAAATCACACGGATGAGTGATTATCCTTCATCGATATGGGAAATGTGTTACGCATTTAATGCCATATGTGTTTTACCAATAAAACGTGTGGGAACGATCAGGCATTTGGTAATAACGCGAGGCACGCCTGAGGGTCACTCGATTCAATAAAACCGAGCAATCAAAATGAAAACATTTCTCTCAGGAATTTTCAACTCTTGTCTTGCCACTATTTTCAAAGAAATTCTTGTGTCGAAATTGATTGTTACGGGTGAAATAAAAACATTTGTAATGTTTGATTTAGTAATTTATGGCTACGATTTTGAGCAATCGATCTGGCTTGTAACTGTTTTAAATCTGCACTTGTAATAAATCTGTTGCCTGGTTTTTGTTTACGATCCACGGTGAAACCACTAAACGGATTTCAATTGGGTTTCACTGCTCATTAGTTGAGAGTCTCTGTTAGGACATAGGCTATAAATTATACTGTGATTTTGCATACTGGAGTAGGCAAAGTTGGTGGGTTCAGAAAAATTTCCAGAACTTCTTCAAGTTTTCCAGAAATTTCCAGGAAATTTATAAAATGTTTCTTTGGAGGAATTGAAGAAAGAGCCCTCCCATTTTGCTTACCTATAAATTTAAGAAATTTTCGAACTGTTTTGAAAATTTTTTTTTTAATTTCGAAAATTCAAATTTCAGCAGCTTCTTTAAAATTTCCAGGATTTTCTGCTCTATGAAATTTTGGAATTCAGTAGCGAAGCGGTAAAACGGTTCAAAGTAGCTCTACCCTTACGGTAAATTCAAAGATTATTGAAAACTACAAAAAAATTGCAGAAAACTCGATTAGATTCGGAATTCTAATTTTTTTTTTCAATTTCATTATCGTCTTGGTTTTTCAAAGAAGAAATATTTAAAAATCCGGAGTTAACCCAGTGTCTTTTGTGAAAATCAACATTTCCATTGTAATCAAAGATTAAAATCTGAATTTTTTTTCATTAGATGTGAAAAAATCAAGAATTTTTTGACACCTCATAAAAAATAATCCACCGTTTTGCAAACAAGGTTTATTATTTATTTATAAGAGGGAATTTTTTGAAAAAATATCAATATTTTGCGAAATTCAATTTAGATAATACTGACTGGGTATGAATTTTTTCAAATTTTTTCCATGCAATTTAGTTGAAAAATTTCAAAACTAAAAATATCCAAAAGTACAGCGTAGCCCGGCCGAAGGATAAAGCTATTAGTGGAGTTTTCGAGAAATATTTCCTAATCTAAGGGAAATAACGAAATTTTCGCAATGACTTTTTTTGTACAGGGCATTGAAACACCCAAAAATATTGCTATCCTCCTTAGATTCCAAGATATTCAATGAAAACTGGTCAATAGTCAAAATCGACTTGAACCGTTTTACCACTTTGCTACTGAATTCCAGAAATTCCGTATTTTCAACGTGTCTTTTTTTTCGGGGAAACTTGAAAAAAAAATTGAAAAATTCTTAGGTTTTCAGGAAAATTAAGGAAAATAATCCACCGTTTTGCAAACAAGGTTTATTATTTATTTATAAGAGAAATGTTTGAAAAAATATCAATATTTTGCGAAAGTCAATTTAGATAATACAGTCAGTATTTTTTCAAATTTTGAAAAATTCTTAGGTTTTCAGGAAAATCAAGCGAATGCTCGGTTTCTCTAAAAAAAACTGGGGAAGAGAGGGGAATTACCCGTGCAGCATTGGAAGGGAGGGGGGGGGGGGGAGGAGGAGAATGCAGTAAATGAGGGAGCACATTTAAAAAACTTCGTCAAAAAAATCTGGTTGCATCGACCTTGGGAAAGTGAATTTTTGGTTAATTCAACCTTTGTCAAATTGAACTTCCGTCAATAAATCTTCCGGTTATCTCGGCTTTTATAAAAATATTAGTAAAATCTGTGTTTGTATATAGCAGTCTAGAGTGTTATCTATTTCGTTTTGGTTTCTTGTGAGAAGAATAATCGATATTTCTCATTTATTTCATTGAAGTGTTATTGATGCTCTGTTCTTGTGTGTTTGCATTATTCTCCTGGAATTTTTAAAAGTTTCGTCAAGTTTTTTGAAATTCAAGTTGTTCAAGTTTTTTTCTTCGTGTTGTTTTAGTTTCCAAGTTGTTTTGACGAAGTTTTTTTGACGGAGTTTTTTGACCAAGTTTTTTTAACGAAGTTTTTTAAACATAGACCTATACATGAAATCATTCCAAAATAGAAAATTTGATTTATTGAGTAGAAGACTTACCACAGGCGAGAATTACGAATAGGATAATGTATTTTTGTGTCATGACGTTGTCAATCGGATCTCATCGTACGATTCAACTCCACTAAGCCCCAAAATCTGCAATAAAGAATGTATCATTGAAAAAAAAAGAAAACAAACGAATGTTTCATGGATTTTTCTGATTGAATAAACTGATTAAATACTAAAATTGAATAAAAAAATCATAGATCAAGAATTTCCACATAGATCAAGAAGTATTCTTCACCTACACAGATGCAAATAATTAAGGGGAAACTACTATGAGTTTGTGAAGTCGCGGGCGATTGTACTGAAATTTCTCATGCATTGAAGATCGATTATATAGTTCTAAAAACGAATAATTAGTGAAAAAAATTGATTGATTATTCTTCGTTTGCCCTGCAGACGCTTAAAATGTTGAAAATAATTCAGGGCCTTCAATTTTTGAGCTACAAAGGATTTTTTTTTTTCAAAATTTTCGGAAAAATATGTGGAATAACAATCACGAGCTAATTTTTTTTTAATTCGCCTCTTACATGGCTGAATTTGCGTTTTTTCCATTTTTTACACAAATAGTGAATTTTTTTATATGAAAAAAACCGAAATCAGCTGTGTAGAAGTCGAATTCCAAAAAAGTGGTTCGTAATTGTTGTTCCACACATTTTTCCGAAAATTTTGAAAAAAAAAATCTTTTGTAGCTCAAAAATTGGAGGCCCTGGACTTTTTTTTAGCATTTTAAGCGTTTTCGGGCAAACGAACAATAAAAAAATTTTTTTTTACACTAATTATTCGTTTTAAGATCTATCTAATCGGTCTTCAATGTATGAAAAATCTCACTCCAATAACCCACGACGTTTAAAACTCATAGTAGTCTCCCCTTGAAAATATTTAAAATATATTCTCGACACCATAATGTAGTCCGCAACAATGTAAATAAGATCCTGAACATACTGTTGTATACTGATTTACATGTATACACACATATATATTTACGGTTAAACCGTACCCTAAATCGTAATACCCAGAAACAAGTTACAGAAACAATTCCCCTGCTGAAGGCCCTTGGGCAATGGCCAATTGCAAGAGCTCTTGCAACTAATCACGTAAAAAATAAATACTAAATAAAATATATTCTCGACACTTTCAGAAATATCTTTCGGGATACTTTACATGAATGGTGCAATTTTTTATAAAAACGAAATTAATTGCGTAGGAATTGAATTTCAAAAAACTAATTCGGAATCGTTATTGCACACATTTTTTCAAAAATTTTGAAAAAAAACCTTCCTAGCTCAGAAATTGGAGGCCTTTGACCATTTTTAGCATTTTAAGCGTCTACGGAGCAAACGAACAATGAACAATTAATTTTCTTGCGTTACTTATTCGTTTTTAAACAGAAATAATCGATCTTCAATGAAAGATAAATCTTATTCCCATAGCTCACGACTTTTAAAATTCATAGTAGTCTCCCCGTAAAAGTAATATTGTTTTTAATTCTTCCCTCACTTCAATAAAAAAGGTGAATGAGAAGATATTCATAATTATCATTCGACTCTCGTGCCATAAAAATGAATCACAGTATCTCTGTCACAGTTCTCACAACAATAAATAAATAGCAGCCTTCCTATATTTCTCCCATTCATACCGCCTTATGGAAATCCATCGGCAATAGACTACTCATCATTTTCGTCTCAGCACTCCAGCAGTCATTATTAAATAAACAAGTCGACCCTGAAGACCGTGGGAACCTCCACCATTATTTATCATTTATTCCAACCAAAAAATTAAATTATGCAACAAGATCTGATAAAAGTGCATCAGATACATAACAGTCCACAAACATCTCAATATAATCTCCTAAATTCTCCCTAATTTTCCACTTTGTTACGTAAAATTGAAAGATAAGTTGGGAATAGTAAAAAGCTGCTTAGGAGCGTGGAAAGAAAGGAAAAATGAATAAGAGCGAAATAATATACCGATGAAGCCCATTTGCGGGTGAGCACGCGCTCATGCCTTTCACCCACGGCTTCGTATCTCACGAGTATTGCAACAGAACAGAAACAGCGTTTAGGTACTTGAATGTACCGTAATACATTTTCTAATATTACTACCCCAGTGAATTAAATTTTCTCAATTTTCATAGTAAAAATGAAATAACCACAAGACGACAAAATCATTAAGCAGCTAATCAATGTCTCGATTACTGACAAGTATCAACATTTATCTAAGGAGGTGATTTATCAGTCAATGAATATTTCGTGTGAATAGTACTGCTAATTATCCACGGAATTAAAATTCAATGTCTCAATATAAAATTCGATAAAAATTTTCAAAGTAATTTACGAGACTACGGTTTGCGTACATTAAATCTCGCCGGGTCAACGGGATTGTGAAAGAGTCATGGAGTAGGGGTTTCATTGTCAGAATAATTCAAGGACTCGGTGAATAATATCGCAAGACATTTCAAGAAATGAATATGAGAAGGAGTGGCCCTAGGGGCAATAAACGTGGACAAGCGATATCCTGGACTATTGCCATCTGTCAAGTCGGTTAATGAGAATAGGTTGCTAAAGTTATCCTCAAGATTCCAACTGCTAAATTTAATTGCATCGATAAATTATTGTATATTTGCTTTCACGCCCGAGAAGATAATTATAGATTGAAGAAGTTGCACATTATAAGAGAGAATTGGAATTTTGGATATGTAATAATAATAATTCACAGAAGAGCGACGTTGAATTCGATTTTTAAAAAATTACGAAATTTAAAAATTCATTGAAAATTCAGAGAAATTTCAACTTACTTGAAGCAAAATCAAAACGTTGAATGTTCAATATCAATATAAAAAATTACCGGGCAAGTCAAGTAATCGTAGAGCGAATTTTTGTCCGTTAGCCCGCGGAAATTTACTCAACGTGAGGATAATTTCTGCCGAAACTGTAAAATTTATCCTGCATTCCATGAAAAATTATCTCAGTGAATGCGAATGATTGCTCAATATTGCGTGTACTTTTTCTGCAACGTTGAGCATGATTTTACTGAACGCGTTAGGTAAAATTTCACTTCCATTCGTCCCCATGACCTTCAGATAGGTGCAAAAAAAACCTTACCGGTACGAGAAATTTTACTGTATAGGAGGATAATTTTTGCATCCATAGATGTATTTTTTTTACTGAACGAATCATAGAATATCCTCCACAAACAGGTATTTTTTTCAAAATTTGCTTGTTTCAATAGTACATTAGAGTACAAGGGCACAAATTTCGTTTTCGCCGAATGTGAAGTACAGGCTGAGCCGAAGGCGAGGTCTGTATTCACATTCGTTGAAAACGAAGTTTATGCCCGAGTGGTCTATACTATTTTATGCCACATCGTGCAGAAGTCGAGTCTGAAGCACGCGAAGCGCAGCGTGCGATAAACTCGACTTATTGCACGGCGTGCCATAA